TCTGCAATTGAGATCACCACTTTATTATTAATAAATTTTCTTTAGTTTATCATTTTTCCTATTACTTTTAATACATAATATTTATAATATATTAAGTTAATTACAAATGGTTTGACCTCAGTCCGACCTTTGAACCGAGAAGCAGTGCCTTAACCAGTTCAATATTAGTCCGGTTTTAATAACATTGATCATAATGTTGCAATGAATGGTTAGGTAGGTAGTTATGTAATGATTGTTGTGTTAGGTAAGTGTAGGGTCCATAAACAGATATTGAGATGTTGTAACAAGCGCAAATGAGTTTTAGTGAATTACCAGATTCTGAGTTTGCTGTTCTCTCCCTCTCTCCCTCTCATCTCTTCTCTTCTTCTCTTCTCTGTTTCCTTCCCTCTTCCATTTACAATACAACAACAACAACAAGCCTTATCTTACTAAGTGAGGCTGACTATATGAATTGTATGACGTCATTCTGCTCTATCATTAATTAAGTTTTTAGGAATATTGTTGATGAATAGGTCTAGTTCAATAAATTTCATGAGGTTTTTTTTTTTGGTCTTCCTCTTCCCACTTTACAGGGCTCTAGGCTATCCTTTCGACTCTCCCTCTTCCATTTACAATAGCAAAACACAATGTTTGAGTATAAAGTATATATTAACTAGGCATGTTTTCTCGTGCATTGCATACAGGATTGTTTATGGCTTGTGAATATCGTGGCTTAGTGGCTTACTGTAGATTTTAGTATGTATATTGATATTGATTAAAGCAATCCATTTCATTCAATGGGATTTAATGTCGGAGATCTGAATTGGAGAGCATACTTTACAAAAGGATTTGCTTTTTGGATTATTTTGGGGCTTGGTATATTTTTGTTAACTAACAATATTGTAAATCTGGATTGTCAATTTGATATTGTTGTAGGCTCTTTTAATGTTTTAGCCATTTTTTCAGCTGTACTGTGACCCTCTGTAATTCTGTTTACATTATGTTTGTAGTAGTCACTTTCTAATGCTCTTTCTAAAAGTCGTTTTACTAATCTATAATGGATCAATTGACTTTTGTACACGCTATGTCATGAAAATTCACTGTACCTTGTTTCACATTATGGTTAATTTCTTGTAATTTTTTTCAGGAATTTGGGGTGAATCTTGAGACAGGATTTTTGCTTTATGGACCACCAGGGTGTGGTAAAACACTGATAGCCAAAGCTGTTGCCAATGAGGCAGGAGCTAATTTTATTCATATCAAGGTCTGTCTAACAGCTACAGCAACATTGTCTCTTAAGTTCTGGTTTAGTTACAGGGTTCTCCTTTGTGTGAGATGAAGTTTCTTAATGAACTGTCTTATTTACTTTCACGTTGTAGGGCCCTGAACTTCTAAATAAATATGTTGGAGAAAGTGAGCTGGCAGTGCGAACATTGTTTAGTCGTGCAAGAACATGTTCACCTTGTATTATTTTCTTTGATGAGGTTTGTGGCTTTCTGACCTTTGAATAATGTTTATTATGAACTCAATTTTGCCCTTCTGCAAGAAGCAGCAGATAAATGTCTAAAATCTGGATGTTCCAAATTTCATTTTTTTTATTTAAACTATTGTATTTTAAGTTGGCAGTTGGAAATCTTTTTCTTTTTTGGTATTGAATCTTTCGAAATGAAAAAAAAAAGTATTGAAATTAAAAATATGGAAGGTCTGCGTTTGACCTTTGTTAATCTCTTGGCCTACGAACAGAATATTGAATATATTTGCTACGTGATTTGTTTCGGAGAGCGATCCTTGTAACTTATCTACAATTTGTAAGATTTATCTGTAATATTTGAATCATCTTTAGGTGGATGCATTGACAACCAAACGTGGTAAAGAAGGTGGATGGGTTGTTGAGCGACTATTGAACCAGGTCAAATGGTTTCTTGAATCTTTGGAAGGAATTACTTAATGCTGACATACTATAAAGACAACTCTTATTTTTAGCTTGGACAGAAAATTGACAATTATTTGCAATTGCAGTTACTTATTGAATTAGACGGTGCAGAGCAAAGGCAAGGTGTTTTTGTTATTGGTGCCACAAACAGGTGACTTGTTTGCCATCTCTTATCACATTTCATTTAAACCTATATGTTTCCGGGAAGGAATTGGAAAATGAAAGCATAAAGAATTATTTTTTAATGTAATATTATGCTTTTTTCATCATGATTTAATAGTGTCTCTTTTAGTTTTAGTAAGAATCTGAGAATCATTTACTTTTACACAGTCATTTCTTTTTTACCTGTGCACTATAAAATTCTGTATACCAAACAAGTGTTTGTTTCTCTTATGCAGACCTGAGGTGATGGACCGTGCGGTCCTTCGGCCTGGGAGGTTAGGTAAACTTCTGTATGTTCCTCTGCCAAACCCTGATGAACGAAGTTTGATCTTAAAAGCTCTTGCAAGGAAGAAGCCAATTGATGACAGCGTGGACTTGTGTGCCATAGGAAGAATGGAAGCTTGTGAAAATCTCAGCGGTGCTGATCTTGCTGCATTGGTATGTATTAGCTTTTTGATGTCCATGCTTATCCCATGTCAGAGCTGATATGAAATGACTTTTCAAAAAGCCTTCATGCCCAGTCTCTGTAGCATCACCGCATCGCATGATTGTATTATGTGGATATTATATATATATATATATATGCATATATTCACTGTTGTTTGGTCTGACTGTTTCAGAATTGGTGATAATTATATAGGCACAATTTTTATATATAAAAAATCATATAGTATTAAGCTTATATTAATTAAAGCCAAAAAAAAAAAAGATTAGTCACTTAAAAAAATTGAGTGGTTACAAAGATATGACCTCTTAAAATTTTAAACCAAAAAGTTAAAAAATAGTTTTGATTGATTTTTGATCAGTTTGATTTGTTCTTTGGACTGACTGATTTTATGAGCTAATAAAATAAGACCATAGACTAGCTAACAAGTTTTCATGGTAATGATTCTGGGGGGTTTGCTGACTTTGATTAACATATAGATGAACGAGGCAGCGTTGGCTGCTGCTGAAGAGAAGTCGGCATCAACCGGGAGAACTTCAGATGCATTGACCATCAAGATGAGCCATTTTGAGAGTGCTCTCACTAAAATCTCTCCCTCAGTGTCAGACACGGTATGACTGATTACCATCAATTCAATTTTTATTTTTTTCTTTTATACCAAAATGTTTAGGTGAGTTGATTTTTAGGGACTCATTATTCTCAAAGAGCATGAATTCTTTTATTTTTGGCCGGAATTAATTGTATTATGATGCCTTATGATATGGGGATTATATATATATATATATATATATATAGCTTTATATACTTAAAAGTGTTTTCTTGTTTTTTGGAGCAGCAAAAACAATACTATCAACGATTGGCAGAGACTTTTAAGGCAGCCTGAGGAAAAAAAAAAAAAATTTGTTGGGAAACTTCTCCCCAATTGTGGAGTGAGTTGGTGGCATTATTTTCAGGAAAGGTGCAAAGAAAAGAAAAAAAAAATGAAGGGAGCTAAGGCTGGTACGAGGAGTTGCAGCGAAAATAAGATATGTAATTTTTGTTTTGTATTTGTTATTATTATTCTATATTTATTTATTTTATTATTATTATTTTTTAAAACTTGAATGAGTGTCGATTCTTATATTTAAATTTATTTATTTATTTATTTTAATCAAACGACCTGTTAAGTGCGATTATATGGACTATTAGGATGGAGATGGCTGGATTTTTTGCGAGTTTTTGAGAGAGCCTTTCATATTGCTTGAATTTTTCTCCTAGAAAGAAAAGGAATAAATAAAAACAAAACCACTTCATGAACACTATTTTTTGGAAGCTGTACATTTCTCCTAGACTGTGCTCTTTGCTTTGAATGTCGCCATCTGTGCACATTCGTTATCTGTGCTTTTCTACTAAAAAGATTTAAGAGCAAAATTTGAACCCACCTCAATGTGAAACTGCGGCTAACTCTTCTAATTTTATTTATTAATTATTTTTAGAATATTTAATTGGAATTAAAGAAAATTTAAATTTTATTAACTCTTTTAAAATTTAATAAGTTTTAATCTCTGCTCTCTAATAAAGATAAAAAAGAATTATTTTTAATAATTTTTTTAATATCTAACAAGGACAAAAAAAAAAGATGTACATAGAAAATAGTAAACTGTCTTATAAATGAAATTAAAATTAATTATATCTCTCTGCTCTATAAGTAGGAATAAGAGGATTACATCTTTATCAACTAAACAAATTGATAATAGCAATCAACATGGGATTTTAAGAAAGAAGTTGTATGCTTGAAATGGAAGGACGCAGCCCACATGGGCCAACTGAGCATTAATTATTCTTGTTCTTACAGTTTACATTTACTAGAAGGGCCAACCGGTGGTTCTCAGTAATTTTCAATTTTCAAGCGGAAGTAGAGAAGAATTAAGGCTTCTTTTCTTGAACTCGGGTAATAGGATCCTTATCAAAGAATTGTCAATGTTATCAAAACAGAAAGGAAGATGCTAAAAAAAAAATATCAAAGAAAGCAGCATTATCAAACTAGTTGTCATTAGCAAATAAATAAATACACAAGTAAATAAAAACTTTAATGCATAAGGATTGAGTTTAGTAAAAAAAAAAAAATCAAAAAAATGTGGCAAATCAATGTTCAAATTCCCACTAAAAAACAATGCCTAAATTTAATGCTTGACCATGTTTCAAATAGGATATATAAGTATATCTAAGAGCAATAAAAAAAACTTTTATTATACTCTAACAAAATAATATAAGACATGATAATTTTACTTGTTGCTTAAAGAGAAGAATTAATTCTGATAGATCAAGTCTCAAAATTTCATTGTTGAATGAAACGTTCTAATTGTTGTTGATGGAATACAGTAGTATCGTAAAATTCATATAGTTTACCTCATTTAATGAAATAAAACTTGTAAGTGTCAAAGTCTCACTAAAGTATCAAATTCTAGTAGTCATAGAACTAACCAATTGAACAAAATTAACTGAACCAAAACAACCAATCTTGCTTAAAATCCCATCCGTTCAGATGAAAACAATATACAAAATTCCCAAGTCAATTTGATAAGGGCGAAAAAGTGTGTGTAAGACTGCAAGATTCTATCTCTTCAACTCCTGACCATTATCGTACTTGAAGTTGCTGTATACTAATTCAAGAGAGAGAGAGAGAAAAAAAAAAAAAAGCTAGACTACAAGCTTTTATAGGCAACAAGAAACTTCTAGATCCACAAGGAAGAAAGACATCGCATGTTGACAAGTCCTAAACCATGCCGATCAAAAGTATGATGTAAGGCTAGTTCCTGCAAAATATAGCCAAAAAATTGTTATAGGGTTTGATTTTGGTGTATATTAACCAACCTCTAGCACTAAGCAGAAGAGCCAGGCTTTGCAGCTGACTGGTTGGTAGGTTGTTCATGTTGTTGCCCTGGCTTTTGAGCAGGAGGATTTGATGGCCTATTAGGACAAGCTTTTTCAACTTCTTCCTCTTTAATGTTAAACTGTAAAATGCAAAGATATCATTACAAGTAAAATCAAAATGTCGAAGACATGCAGATTCTTTACAGTGAAAAGGAAAGAAGTGCATTTGCAATTAATTTAACAGATTAACTATGTTAGAAAAATGAAAGTTATATGTGACACAAGTATGATAAGATATAGTGCCCAGGAGCATTGTCCTCTCTGGTGCTTGTTGGCAAAATTCTCAAGCCTAAGAGTAAGGCTTGGTTTGGATGGAGGAAAAAGTTGGAAAAAAATATGGACAAGAAAGATCTAGGAGAAGGAATTTCCAAAAGTAGTTTTTTTTTTAAACTGTTTTTAGGAGATTTCCCTCCTAGTTTTCCTTTCTCTCTATTTCTCTCTCCATCCAAATGAAGGGTAAGAGTCCATCTTACCATATAAGCCACGGACTTTTATTTTTACCTTGGGATTAAAAGGAAACTGTTATGCATCTCAGCAAAGAGGACTTAACTAACGGAAGGTCATTAAGATCAAACTAACCTTGAAACCACAGCCAGATGCACAGGCATGGAAGCATTCCTGCACATGAAGGGAATGGATAAACCATTGTTTTGAGCAGAGCACCGCGCAATACATTAACATCCTGCTTAAAACATGCTAAACGAGTGTGTTTTCTTCTCATAAAATCTTAGCATAACAATGTGAAATACATAAAAATGGAAGAAGTCGTGCTTAGCTTAAGCGAGCAAAAGGTAACAAAGAAATCATGGCCCTCCAAATGAATAATCAGTCTCGAATGAATCCATGACTCAATTTTCCAGTTCACTTCAGAAAGTTGACGTGCTTTCACCTTTAAAGTAAAACTGCTCATGTGGTAATTATGTCAAAATCTTTTTCCACATTTAATCTCAAATCAGATTGACCTTCCCTTAATTAAGACAAGGAATGGTGAAAAAAAGCTATGACCAAGAGCTAGCTACTAATCTAATCTTAGTTAATTGCTCCTACACCAAAACAGGACCTAAACCCTGGCCTGATAGTGCACATATAACCTCCTAGACGGACTAAATAATGTCATTATAAGATACTTTAGAACACAGTTATTCCATTGCCACTTTGTGCTATATAAAATAGTTCACAACCAGCTTCTCTAACTAACCCAAAAACATGTTGGCCAAAAAGAGCAAAAAATCCACTAAGGCCTATTTGCAGCTACTTTAAATATAAAAGGTTCCAACTTCAATTAAGATGTAATCTAAAGTGGTACTATTACGTCAATGACCAGCCAGTAGGAAACCATTAATAGGTCTATGGGCACCATGAAAAATATTTAACTGAAGTCTGATAAAATGGTAATTAGAACATGATTACGGTATGCAGTATCCTCAGCAATGGTTTATATGAAATCCATGAAATTGCCAAAACATGTAAAAGCTAAAACAACAAAAGCCAAATATTTTATTTTATTTATTTTTACATAATAACAAACTAACATATAGACAACCTTCCCTTCAAGGTAGAAGAATCAAACATTTAAAAATGAGCAAAAGTGAAAGAGAAACCGTTTTAGAAAAATGCTCTGCTAGAGCAAAACTAAAACATCATTAATTTATGCCGCAATAATTTACCCGGAAGTACAGCAAGTAATAGTTAACTGGATGAGAACATAAAATACCTCTGAACAAGAGGCTGATCCAGGAGAACGGTCAATATATGCACTCCACTGCTGGTCTTTTATTACGGGGTCCTTGTAGCAAATGTGATTGCAGTCCTCCAAACCTGTTTCACCAATACTCGATTTGTACATCACATTTGCAATTCCTATCGTCATGAACTTTATTTATTTGAGTTAAGAAACGCGGAGTCAGTATTTTAGGGCATGGTTAGACAAAATACAAAATGTGCTAACGATGGCCTTATGCACTGTAGTCCTTATACCAGTACAAAAGCAGAGATACAAGAAACTGAAAACTAAATAGGGTATGTTTGGATTAAGAAAATGGAAAAGAGGGGCACAGAGATTTAATTAGGAAATTTTCATTGATTTGTATTTAAATATGTAGTTCTTTTCTTCCCTTCCCTTTCATGAACCTAAATCTAAACATATTCTAAGGAAAAGAATGCCAGATTTGGATCTAATTCAAAGAAAATGCCTAAATTAAAACTTTTCTTCTCTTCTCCATTCTCCTCAATTTCAATACACCTTAAAGCCTATATAGTTTGATTAAATAAAATATAAAAGAATTCATCTGCATATCATTGAAGACAAGAAGTGATGAAGCAGGAAAGTAGCCTTACATTCTTCCCATGTCTCTTCATCCGAGTTGCATCCCTTCTTGCAGAATACTCTCCCTAAAATATTATCACAAGGCAACGTCATTTGGGTTCTTCAACAAACTAAATTCCCATTCTTTCCTATTTTCTGGAGTTAAAACCAACTATCTAACAAGATTCCACACAAGGTCGGACAAACAAGAATATCCCCTTATTCACCAAGAAGAATAAGAATATACTGAAAGCAGACACTGGTTTCATAACAGCCTCTCTCAATTAACCACACAAAAAATTCGCATGGTAGACTGAATCCATTGCACATACCCAGAATATTTATAAACAAAGAAAGAAATTCTAGCCCATGTCACGTGCTCAAATCATGAAACCAGCAACCAAGCATATTACGAGTCAATGAAATGTGCTAACACAGTTCCACAAATCGAGAAAATGATGCTTATAAGCATACATTATCAAGATTAAACATCTTGAGAACAAGAAAACACAGAAAGGTGTAAAAAAAATTATAGAGACCCAGTAGAACATACGAGATATAGATAGAATGGGAAGAGGATGATGATTACATGGAAGTTTGGTGAGGGCTGCATATTTGTGGGTACATCGGTTTCCGCACGGAGGCACCCACTGCTCCGGTAGCATCTTATGGTGGTTTGTTCAGAACTTGCAAAAGAAAGAAGAATGAAGGAAGAACCGAAGAAGGAGAGTCAAAGAGAAGGAGATGAGGCCGTAATTGAATGAGCAGAGACGGTACATTACTCATTTTATAGCAAAATTGCACTGCATTGAATTGAGACTTTGACAGTGGTCCGAGCTTTGCGTTCTAATCTTCTTCAAATTTTTTCCCCAATTTTGTTTCGTTTAATTTAATTTTTTTATTTATTTTATTTTTTTTAATTTTCAAGGGAGAATGACAGTTCAGGCCTTAGAAAAAGAATTGATGGCAATTAAAGTTTAATGAAATTTTCTGAGAAATAAATTATAAAAATTAATTTAAATAATTATAAATTTAGGAATTTTAGTTACAAATAAAATATTCAAATTCTAAACATAATTCTCAATTGTAACTCAACTTGATTCTTAATTACAATTCTCTGACTCAATATTTACGACTCATTTTTTAAAAAAAATTGTTGAAAATTTAACTATCTTTAATTTCTGTTTTAGGATTTTATTGTTATTATCCCTAATTTAAAAAATGATTCAAAACAAATAGTTATTAAAACTTTGAAACTTCATTTAAAATTATGAAGTGTACAAATTAAGAAGGTTGAAGTGGATGATAATTTCATTTTATTAATAAAAAAAATTCAAAAATTCAGATTAAGCACGTCTTATTTTAAATTTGGCCAAATTTTTTAAAATTTATTCAAGCAACTTGAATAAGTTAAAAATAAAAAAAAATTTAAACTCATAAACTTGATTCTAAGCTTCTTCTTCTTTTTTTTTTCAAACTTATTCATACAATCATACTAGCTCATTAAACTTGGTCTGTATTACCGGTTTTATTACTTGCAAAATTCATGAAGTTTTACTCAAAGTATCAATATTTTGTGAAAATGATCCAGATTTTACTACCCATTACAATATCGACACATGGTCATGAAATTCAACTCAAAGTAGAAGTACTCTATGTGAAAAAAAAAAAATCATATTCTTGAAAGTTAACCGACGTAAACATTATTACAAATTTTTGAAGTGTGATATCATTTATATTTTTTCATTGAAACATTTTAAATGAAATAAATTAGTGGAAAAAGGGGGAAAGATGAAAAGAAAAAAGGTGTATTGAAAGGAGAAAATAAAATTGAAGAACAAGTTAATAATGAACTCACATTAAAAGGCACGTGAAACATGTTACGATTAATGATTTGTAAATCATGAATGGGATAACTTATTTTTTGAACTATACCATACCAGAGGCAGAGGGTGGGCTCAATTAAATTTATACTCTATATATAATTCATATTTCAGAAAAAATTTGTGATTCTTTTTATAATTTATTCATGTTCTAAAAGAAATTTATAATTCTTTTTATAATTTATTTTACATAAAAAATAGATCATTAATTAATTTCTTTCAATTTTACTTTTTAACTATTTTCCATAAATAAATAAAAAAATAATTACACAAGAGAGAGTACTTTTAAAGATTATGTACTAGAAAAATTAATTTTTTGATTCTTTTAGTTTTAACGTAGTTATAACTTAGTGTCTGAACTTTAATTCATTATAATTTAATCCTTCAAATTTTGACTTAGTTATAAATCAATCTTAAACTTTACCTCTTACAATTTAATCCTTAAAGTTTTAATCTTTTAAATATTAATCCCTATATTTTAAAAAATAAAATTATAAAGATTAAATTTTTTTAAAATTTATTATTAATATTTTAAATTATTAAACCCTTTTAATCTTTATAAATATTATTTATATTAAAAATTTAAAATACTTTTAATCATTATAATTTTATTTTTTAAAAAATATCATATTTAAAAAGTTAAAATTTCAAGAATTAAATTATAAAAGGTAAATTTTAAAAACTAATTTATAACCAAGTCAAAACTTTAAGAATTGAGTTATAATGAATTAAAATTCAAGTACTAAATTACACCTAAATCAAAACTACAAGGATTAAATAATTAATTTTTCCTTATGTATTTAATAAAAGTAAATTAAGAAACTTTCTTTTTTAAATAATTAATCACTTCTTTTTGGTTATGGTAAAATAATTAGAATTGAATTGCAAATAGATCCCAGGGAAGTATTCATTTAACACAAGGGGCGTTTTAGGGAACTATTAGATCAATTTTACAAAATCTTAAATTATTTAGTAATTTCTTTGGCCTATGTGAAAAATGTTTGTGACATTTTTTATGGAATGAAAGTAAAAGACGGGTATGAACACAATTTCAAAAGATAAAAGGTACTTCCCTGGTGCGTAAAAAATTTCGCACTTAGTTTATTAAAAAAAAATTTCAATTTCTTTGTAATTAATAACTAATAAATTATTATTTAGAAATTTAAATAACAACACATATACAAGGAATAAAAATAGATAACAAGCCTTAATTATTTCAACTTTGTCTTATATTTAGGGCAAAAAAAAAAATCAAACAACATTTTATATTAATGGCCGGAGCAATATTTATTGCCTTTTTTTTTTTTTGGCTCCTTGTTAATGGAACCCCACTGTTCCAGAGCCGGGTTGCTTCTTGGCTTCCATTTTATCTTCCCCGGATTTTCTTTTGGCCACCGACTTGTGTTCAAGCAAGGAGGGAAGCCAAAAAAAAAAAAAAAAACAAGAAGAAGAAAAGAAAAAGAAAGAAAGAAAGAAAACAAAGACGCCCACAGAGAGAGACGCCCACACACATACTGTACTTGATTGTCTGAAAAGGCTAACAACAAAAATTTTATGCTAAAGAAGCAAATCTTAATATCTTAAATTGATCATCAAATTGACATATGAACTTCACAAATTGAACTAGGTAACAGTCCTGTGTGTAATAAAACAATTTCAGTTACAGCTAAAATAATTGGAAGTTCTTGATCACTAATCAACAATTAAGGACGATTCACAGGATCACAAGTATAATTGTTTGCAGAACTTAACAGACAATCGGACACCTTCTAACAGAACATGTGGAACATTATTACCAGGACATGGTCGTTCAATAAGTAGATGCTATTCTACGCTTCAATATGACATTTTCTAGAGGGAAGTAAAGCAAGGGTGTATTATTATACAGGGAATAGCAAACAGACCAACAATAAAGGAAGAAAAAATCAGACACATTCATACCTAGTACACTCAATTGCCATGCTTTTCTTGTTATGCGTTGATGATACAAGAGAATGATTTTCTTTACATTTTACCCACCTTGAAATCTTCCTCTCTTCATTCCTGCACAGCCTTGAAGTAATAGACTTGAAGCCACTTCTCATGCAGCTTACTATTCCAGTGAGGAACACCCTGAAAAGTGAAATTTGATATTTCAATTCTATAAACGGCTTGAGTACTAACATAAAATCCTAAACAGTTCCCAAGCTACTCCCTCTGATCCTTATTATAGGACACCTTGTGAAAGGATTTTTTGATCCTTAACATAAAGCACATGGAGAGTTGTTCATTACTATTTTTCAATACCTCATTGTAAATTTAATTTTATGGGTCATTGTATACTGTATATCTCTCTCCTTATTTTTAATTAAGGGTAAAGTTGGGAAATTTTTTTATTTCAAGAAATATTTCATGAGTTAACTATCATTTCTAGATTCCATTGAAGTAGTTGAAAGTGACTTCTAATAAAAACTGGGGAGTAAGCAGTTGTTACAAGGCACAAAATATACTAAATCATTATATAAAATTCTAACTTTAAAAGTCAGTCAAGGATCTGTGACTTAGGACGGTTTCCCCCTTGATACATTTGCCTTTTCGTTGCATGAAACAGGAGATGTACAATGTCTATTATACCCAAGTTAATATTACTCAACACTGATAATCCCTTTTTATTAACTTTTTCTGGTCTAGAGACACTATTGACATTTTTCATCCTTTTTTACTTTCTAAACACAGCATTTGAGTCCCAAGCAAGCCCTCAAGATTGAAGACAAAATTATCGTCTTTTGGCCTTCGCAGATAGCATTCAACAGATTTAAAAATAAAGTATCTACCTACTTAGGTCATTATATTTGCTTAAAAGAAAACTTAACTATTCAAATAATATTCAATAATAATATTACCCTCATGCAAATCACTTATCAAAGCTAATGATGCGAATCTGATTGGGGTAATATGCTCGTTTAATTTATCTATTTATTTTTGTTAAAAGGGTGATCTTCTCCTTACAACTATAAGTGCTTAAATACAAATCTTAATAAGATGGTGATGGGAAACTTGTTTTGAATTTATTTTTACGTTTTAGTAATTTTATGATTAGTAATAATCTTCATTTTAAGGTATCATGCAATCCATGTAACTGATCTCACTTAGTAGGATAAGATTTGTTATTGTAGTTGTAATTATCTTCATCTTAAAAGTTAGGTTTTCTTTAACTTATTAGGCATTGCCTTATCTATCGTTTAGGTTTAAATTAGTTTTAGTGTAAATTATTATCAATTTGATTATTGTACTTAAGGCTTTATAAATAATCCCAGGGTTATTTTGATGTCAGATCACTTTGCCTATTGAATAATATTGAGAATATTTTGCTGTCACACACTCCCAATTTCTTTATTTCTTCCTGCATTCTTCTCATATTCTCCCTCCCCCTCTTTTCCCATGTCCTACATCACATACTCCTAAGGGAGATAAATGACAAGACTTTTGGAATGACTTTCCTTTTGAAATGAATCCCACAGTACTAGCCCATGCTAAACAATTTGGTATGTGAATATAAAATGAGTTAGGAAAACATTCAAGTATAAACATTTATAATTAAATAAAGCATACACAAGACCCCTACTCATCCAACTTATGGGTTTGCACCACAATGGTTGTTATATGTTACTGCTTTTATAGAGGGCCTTATCGTCTTTATGCATTATGTTGCTGTGTTTTCTAATTATTGCTGAATCTTAAGATAGTATTGACAGTCTAGGACCCTCATTTCTTATGGCACGTGTCTAGGGTAGAATATATATCCTGTCTTGTCCCTCTAGCCGATTTTTATGAAATGAATTAGTCTTTTCTCCTCTATCTTCTTCTTCCTTCTAACAATGGTTCTAACTCCAGAAACTCATTATGTCTCAATCACACACACCAAAAAAAGAAAGAAAAAAAGAAAAAAGGCAACAACGTTTACATTATCTATAACAAAGGGTTCATTTAAAAACTATAAGGTCAGTTTAAACAAATCAAGGCATCGAGGGTATGGTGTACTTACAATGGTGAGCAAGGCGAACAGCGCCCATTCACATAGTACACGAATAGGTAAGAATCATAATGTTGTCCATTGATCAAATAAAATCCCCGCAGTGTTCTTACATACTTGAAAGACATCTTCTTGTATAGAAAGATTGCGGGGTTATTGTAAGAAATAACATGCAAGTAAACAGCAAGGCAGGTTGGAATACTTGAAGCATATTTTATGACCTCTCGAATCAGTGAAGAAGCTGCAGATCAAGCAGAAGTTGGACCTCATACTATGCCACCAAGAACTCACACTAAATTAAAGCGAGAGAATCTCATACCTATTCCGAGATTTCTATATGCTTCCACTACTCCCAGAGTCAGAATATAAATTAAAGTTTGATCTGATTTGGATGAGTCACATCCAGGAATATCCCCTGTCTGCATAAATAATATTCGTAAGTAAGGAACTTCAATTAATAATCAGCAAAATGTTGAGCCTTCAAACAGTCGTTGTACTCTAAGGAGGGCGTACGCCATAATGTATAATAAAATTTTGATAGTGAAGTGAAACATAATCAAATCTTTTAAAAGGACAAGATTCATAAAACATTACACTAAGCGTAGTTAGGTTTAGGAAGTTAAGGGAATATGATTTTTTCCCCCAACCTTCTCTCCGTGCATAGCCATGGCTTATAGTTAGGTTTCTTATCTTTGATAAAATGATAGGTTGAATGCACCTTGAATAAGATTTCCAGCAACAATTTCTGAGACAACATATATTGTCACCAGCTAAATGCATGCAAGCAATGAGTAGGCAAAGTCACATTCCAACTGAAATTTGCCTTTCCAGGGAGTAATAGAAGACCTAAAATCTCAGTTTTTCTATCCAGCTGGAGCGCTACCAATGATTCACAATTTAACTTCTTCTGAAAAAGCTTCAAGCAATAAGGAAAAAGGCATACAATTGTACATAATAGGACCAACCTCAATTTCTTTTCCAAGAACAATCCGTGCTGTTACAAATCCAATGAGTTCATCACTTTGGCCCTCAGGCCGACTATGGTCCACAGCTCCCCATGACACAATGTCATGCCCATTGACTACATCTTGAAAAAATAACGACTCATACCTAAAATTTGAAATATCCTTTTTTAAGTTAGCACAATTCCCATAGTCCACTATAAAGACAATTTCAAAAATATAAATGTTGAGATACATCTCACCTGATAGGAAAGAGTTTTTCATGTAAATGCTCTATAGTGTCAAGGTCAGACGGTAGTATAGATCTGAAGCCTATTTTTGGACGACCAGCCACTTTTGATTTTGGGTTTACCATTGGCATTGAGTACTATTTGGAACTTCAGTTAATCCCCATCAAATATCTGATACAAGTGCACAATTTGTCCAACTGCAGTTCCTTTCATTAACACTATAGCCGAATGACAAAGGCCATTAAATACTTGTAACCACTGCAAATTAAACAGAAACTTCAGAATTTTAAATAAATAATAAACTATATTAGCAATACTGACTCAACCTCATATCATGATTGAGATATATTTTTTTTCACGAGTAAGACAAACCAGAGATTTAATTATTTCTATTAAGCAAGCAAATATACCATCAATAGGTCTTTTCTCAAAAACAGAAACTAGCATAAAGAAAGGTAGAAGAAACAAAGGCAAATAATTATTCCACACAAAACAGGAAGCATCAAATACAAAGAACGGGAAACTCACATCTCATTAGAGCCATCTGCATATCAAACCAGGAATTGCCCAAAATAAAATAAGAATAAATCACACTTCATCCCCTTAAGTTTTAATGAAAGTCAACCTCAATGCACCAAATTCTAAATCTCACACTTTAGCCCCCTCTAGTTTCAGAAACGAACATTTTTACTCCCTCAGATTCAGATACATTAAATCCTCCTCAGTCAAAGAACACAAACCAAACCTATCCACGCAAGCATTTTCTTCTCAACTGCAGAAAACAGAGCTGTGGAAGAGGCTGAGTATCCTATATGATGGTTACATGGAGAAAATAGACTAGAAAGGGAGGTTATGTCTTCTGCATAAACTATAGAAATCAGAGCAATGGGAAAAACTGTATGAGTGTTGATGAAGTAATGTGGATTTTTTTTGGTCACCAGTGATGTATGATGCTGAATGTCATAAGAACTTCAAGGAATTAACAGGAATTCATTCAAAAATAAAGACTGTCAGCATAAACCCACAAATATTCTAGACAAACAATCCTACGCCGAATAAAATTAGTGGATAAAAATCAAAAGTGAAAAGAACAGAGATAAATCTATCTAAGCCTAGGCCCTAGGCTATCAGTTGGCTTATGAACTAGGGACGTGCTCTCCCTTAACAGAAACCAAAAATAGTTTCCAAGCATTGAGATAGCATCTGTATTTATAATGATAACAATTAAGTCAATCTCTGTAATATAGCTATATGGCAACCTCAACTAAATCCCAGATTCCCAAAGTAACACATGAAAGTTGAAACCAATAGAAGCCATGGACAACAGTTTGCTTTGAAGAAGAACGTATATGTCACTAATTTTTAATGATGCAGTACATAACAAATAACTGGAGTTTAATTTTTTAACTACAAAGACGTTCAACATCTATATGGTTTGTATGTTTCATATAATACTGCAAAAATATTTGAACTGTAAATATTCAAACTAGATTAAATTTATAATTTGAAGAAAATATCTAGAAAATCAAATAAAGCGTTTGAGGAGTCTTCACAAGAAAAAGGTTTTGGAACTTCACATTGATTGAAAGGAAACTTCACAAGGAAAAGATTTTGGAACCTGATAAGGGTCCAAGTTTGTCTTGAGCTCCAATCAGAACCTCACATTGATTGAAAGGCAACTTCACAAGGAAAAGGTTTTGGAACCAATAAATTTGTTTAGGTCATATAAGTATAAACTGAAGTTCTAAACCCTACAATTCATGCAGTTGAAACTAAGAACAAAAATACCAAATAACAAAGTATACGCTTTCTGCAGGACTTGCTTATACTGCAAACCACACCACATGATAATATAAATAACAACAAAAACAACTTCTTAGCACAACAAGCAATAAAACTTAAAGATACACGTTGAACTGAAAACTATCACAAGAATGGTATACAAAGAACTTAAATGACCCTTATCACCTTACTTCTATCTATCTGAGTAGTTTATGATGCCAATAGTACAAAGGTGAATAGAACACAAAGAAGGTAATCATGAGTTTCCAAATGCTACTATCTGTTATCTTCTTTATGATAATTTCTCATGCCTCATATTTTATGCATGTTCTTGAGAAAATGCTAAATTGCCAATTAACTTTTCAAAATAGGTACTTGGAATTTTCTGTTTTGAGGAAAGATTTTTTATCAATAGAAAATAACACAAGTGCAAAATTTGAAGGATATATGTTAGAACAATTTCTTACCTATATGAGTAATGAATTTAAAAAAAAGAGAGAGAATTACAATCAGGTCCCAATAAGAAAACTAATTATTTCTTCAGCCTATTTACAAGTCAAACTTCTATATTTACATGCTAAACTTTATTATTTACAAGTGGACAGGACTTATAAGTAATTAGTTTCCAGTTCTGGGACCTATATGTAATTCTCCCTAAAATTCAACAATTCCGCAGATTTTCATGCAATTAAATGGGTGCGCAAAATTCATTGGAGGAAGAATTTGATAAATAGATAGTCTTAAAAAGGGGACTTATGGCCAATAATTTATTTTTTTTCTATCAGTATTACTTTAATCTGCTCTTGTAAGTCATGACGTCATATACACCTATCTATTTTCACCTTTGTTGCAATTATTTGCAAAGGGTAACAGAAACATTGTGAAGGTACAAAGTCCATGTTTAGATAAAGGAAAGAATACTTAGTAGGAATTTTAGCTGCCTTTTTTAGAAGGAAGGTGGCTTTGGCGTTGGTAATTAAGCAGCAAAAAATCACTATCCCAGGAAGAGTGCCACGGCATCCATGAAACTACATCTTCTAAGGTGATCAACAGAATGGATGGTATGTCAGGGTTCTTGCCAAATCTGGACATAAAAGCCTAGGAAATTTGCGTTTCCTATAAAATTAGTTAGTAATAAGTTCTTTGGTTTGCTTTCAAAAGGATCAACAGAGTATTGTTCTATCCTCCAGTTGTATTTTACATCTAAATCATCTCTGAGGCACCCATAATTCTTCTGTTACAAGTCTTGATTATTTGGGAATTCAAATAATAATTGAAACATTTAATTCTAAGAGTCTTTATTAATATGGAAAGCTCTGATCTACCGCTATTGAAAATTAGCCTCATTTTTTTTTTTTTTTTGGTTTGTATACTTCCTTCCCCAGTTAATCAAATCAAATCGTTAACCTGGTAACAATCACAACTTATGCGGTGAAGGGAAGAAATGAGGAAACCCGTTAACCACCAACATAAATTTAACCCGGAAAAAAAAGGGCAAAATGCAAGATCACATATATGTATATAGATTATAGAATAACAGAGAGGGAAGAAAAAATAACTGACCAGACAATGAAAAAATAGCAATAGTCACCGAAAATTCGTCAAGGATTACAAGGCATCTGATTTCATAGTAGGATTTCTCAACTGATATAATAAATCGGTAAATTGAAGAAAGATCACAAAAAAGATAGCGTGATCGCAGAGAAAGATTATACCTAAACAGCAAAACTAGAAGATGCCTGAAGAGAGGAATGCTTTCGATCGTGGTTCTGGACAACGAATCTGGAACAATAGCCCAGCTTACTCCTCGTCCTCTGTACAGTTTGTTTTCTTAAAGTCATATTTTTTAAAATTTATTGATTTAATTTTGAATTTTCCTATCAAAATATTATTAGTATCAGCATCCAAATAGTCATCAATATAGAGCCTAAGCATAGACTCGCAGTTGGCTTCCTTGCTTCAGGTACTTTAGATTTAATTTAAATGATCTAAATGTAATATAATTTTTTTAAAATAATATATATATATATATATATAAAAATTATAAATTTTTTTAACAAATCTGATTATGAGTTTGGACAATTTATATTTAATATTAATCATCTATATTTAATATTAAAAATTAAAAAATTATAAAAATCTTTTAAATCAAGATATATTTAAATAATTAATTTATAAAAATTTTGATATTAAATATAAATCATTCATATTAAATTTAAATTATTTAAATTAACAAATAAACTTATTAAAAAATTTTATAATTTATATGATTTTTTATTGCAAAAAAATTAAAATTAAAATATTAAATATAAACCGTCTAAATTTAGTTTGAACAGCCTAAATCATCTACTACCTCCATGGAGCTGTGGAGAAGGCTTCACTCCAGCTCCCAATAAAATGTTATTTATCTTCAATTTGGCATGAATTGTTTTACTTATTATCCGTTACTCTTTTATTTATATTTAATTTAGATTATGAATTTTACGAAAACTCATGAATTTTATTTAAATCCTTATATTTTTAAATTTTATTTCATATATCCATTTTATTTGAATTTAATTGTTAATTAAAAATTATGTAATAACAAATCGTGTGACTTGGCTTGTCAAATACATCATAAAAATATTACTTCATCAAAGTAATTAGGTGAAAATACATTAAAAATAACATAAAATATAAATTAAGCTAGAAAATTATAGTTTAATAAAAAAATTAATGAATGAAGATAAATTAAAAATGTTGGCAAGAAAAAAATAAAATAAATTTAAAATGAATTAAAGCAAAAAATTATTAATTCCAATAAAAGGAAAAAAATAAATGTTGAAGTAAATTTTTGTCCAAGTACAAAAGTTGAAGTAAGATTAGAACAATGTAAGCAATTAGATTTGCTAAAATACTGACATGAATTGCATTAAAATTTAAAAGAATATGACACAAAGTTATATTTATAAATTTATACGGAAAATCTAATTGCAAATCTAAAAAGATTAATTGTAAATAAGCTGTAAATTGATATAATTTTTTCTAAACTGCTGAAGTTTAATTGCAAAATTTATAAATTCAATTACAAATCATGAAAATTTAGTTAGAAATCTCAAAAATTCAATTGTGAAAATCTGCTGCAAATTATTATTGAACTTTTGATATTCATAGCAAGGCTTCCATAATTTATAAATCTTCTGCAATTTATGATTTATTTAAAATTAATCTTTCTATATATTCCATTTGTTAAAAAATATAGGGTATTTTTAATCGAATCTCACCCCCAATAAAGTAGTTATCTATTTTTAAACTAACCTTATCTTTTCATATTTACCCTTATTAAATACTCTATAATAAATATAAAGTCACTATTAATAGGGGCACTTAAAAAAAGACAATAATTACACTTCAAAATACTAAAATGTCTTACATTTTTAAATATTCAATTCCTCAAAAAATGTCTTACATTTTTGAATGGAGGAAATACCTAAAATTGAACTGTAAAATTTTGCAACTAAATTATGTTATTGATTAAATTTTTTAAAAAATCAATAGGATTGAATCAAGTAGAAGATGTTAGTCCTTCATAATATAGTGAACAAAGTTCAATTTTTTTTTTAAAAAAATTGAGTATTGTACTTTTTTTTTTAAATAATCTATTGCTTATTGTATTGTCCAACTACATGAGCTTTTTAATCTTGCTAGTAAGTCTTTCTTTGGGATAAAAAATGTGCTGAAGGTCCAAAGAACCAAAGCGGGGAGAGTGTAAGCTTATTTACTTGCACCCCGATTCTTTGGTTTTCCAGTGTAACATTTCTGACAAGTTCCTTCTTCTCTCATAAGTTCATGGTTCTTTAATGTCAATTGTTTATTTTGGCGGTATCAGTTCGTTAGTTTCTAACAAGATTCACCTTATTTAAAAAAAAAAAAAAATTACCTTCCAAAAGAAAAAAAAAAAAAAACCGTGGGTTGGTCTGCAATTCTTCACCTTTCGCAACTTTCCCAGAAACGACCGTATTGATAAGATTACATCAATAAGCAGCCGAGCGCTCCGTTTACATTTTTTGCTTCCTCTGCTCTCTCAGCTTCATTCAGTAGCTTCATGAAGATTATCAATGGTGGTCTCTTATTCTCTGCGATTCCCACTATCTCCATGTCCGAATCCAAACCCACACCTCATCTCGAAGTTTCCACTTCTACCTCCGAGGCGTTCAGATGCTATTGTTCTTCCACTGAAACTGAAACCTCTACCCAATTGCCTCCAAACCCTTCGCCTCTCCTCTCTCCTAACAAATGGCATCCTTTTCTGAAGAAAAAGGTCGTAATGCGTGTCGGATACGTTGGCACAGATTATAGAGGTTCCCTCTTTCTCATTTTTCGAGTTTTGTGTGTGTTGTGTGTGTTTTGAAATATTCGGAATGGCGGAACCTCACAAGGCTTTATTCAGGTCTGCAAATGCAACGAGATGAACATAGCTTATCCAGTAAGCTACCTCTACTTCTTTCCCCTTTGGTTATGTTAAAAAAGAGAGTGAGAGAGAGAAGTGATTATGCTAGTTCATGAAGTATATGTATTCGAAATTTAACTCCTATATATTTATTCAACGAATATATATATATATATATATATATGGTAGTACATCATCGTTCCATTTATATCTCTGTGAGGAGCTGCATTGAGCAATACCTAGTTTCGTCTGAAACGATTATATGAGAATTTTTGTTGGCCAAGCAAAGATTATATAAGAAGTTTTAATGAGTACAAGCATTAAATGCTTACTTGCTTTTTGTCAAATAAAAAAAAAAAAAAACTGACTACTGGCATGCATAAATCAGATGGCGTCTTGCTAAAGCAATGCAAATTTGACATGTAGCTATTGAGAAAGAACTGGAAACAGCTATTTTCAAGGCTGGTGGCATCCGAGATAGCAATTATGGGGATCTGTGTAAAGTTGCATGGGGCCGAAGTAGCAGAACAGATAAAGGGGTAACCTTAATATTTCCATCTGTGGATTATAACTGTTCTGTTTGTAGCCGATATACACTTTATTATGACTTCCTAACTGTCTGGTGTGATGGATGTGCTAGGTCCACTCTTTGGCAACAATGATCTCCTTAAAGATGGAAATCCCTAAGAATGCATGGCAAGGAGACCCTTATGGCATTTTACTTGCTAATTGTATTAACTCTTACCTTCCTCACAGTATCAAAGTCTTTAGCATACTGCCTTCAAAAAAGTAAGATTATTAGTCTCACGTGTTATACCTTCTACTAATCTGTTATAAGCATCAAAATCACCATTTTCTTTTGTACGTTAAGCAAGAAACATATGAAGGGCCCTAGATTTACTCAAATTAAGAATTTTCTGTCATCCATGAGAATACAAAAGTACAAGTATTCATTTGGACAGGAGATTATTACTACAAGAGTTGTTTTGAAACAAAGAAATATCCTTTTCTCCATGTTTAGTAAAAAGAAGCATTCCTTGCTGGTTAACTAATGCCCTCTCTCACCCTGTTCCCGAACCACATGGCTTCGGTTTGTCTCAGGAGATTTGATCCTAGAAGAGAGTGCAATCTGCGAAAGTACTCTTACCTCCTTCCTTCTGATATTATAGGAATCCAAAGTCATCTTAGTGAGGATAAAATTCAATATCATATCTCGGATTTCAACACTATACTTAGTGCCTTTGAGGTATAGTATTTTAGTATGTATATTATATAATGTGAATGTCAATTTTACTTCTGTCTTATCTACCTAATGAAGTTGATTTAGTGGAAGAAACCCAAGTGAGATTTCTAACAGAAGATAGTTATTGCTGAAAAGCAGCTTTTTTTTAATTAAATCTTATAGTTAACATAATCATAATGACAGTAGACTTGTTTATTTCATTTTTTAGGTAAAAGACTTATTTATTTCATTATTAATCTCTTCTATTTTCAAATTTCTCTGTTCTTTTATTATATTTATGAGGAGGAGAAGATAACATACTAGACATTGAAGACATACATGTTAGATGACAACGACCCTCCATCACTGAGCTGGAACCTGCATTTAAGTATTTTGTCCTATGCAAGTTCTGATATTCTGACCCTTTCTTTCCTTCTTGTTGTGTGAGTATGAGGCATAGTTATTGGTGACTGACTAGCCATCACTATCATTCTATTATTAACTGATAAAAAGGAAGATGTAAGTGTAACATTTTGATAGCTACACCTGTAGTTATTTTTTCATCTGTTGATACTTTCTTGTAGGGAGAACATCCTTTCCATAATTATACTGTTAGGTCAAAGTACAGGAAAAAAATTAAGGCAAAGCAATTACATGGAAATGTTGGAATGTCAAACAGAGCAAACACACCTGGTATGATATCAGCTTCTGAATCAGAGACTGAGGAAAGTGACGGAGAAGATTTTGAAGGTTGTGGGCCGTCCACTTCAAGCATTGAGGAACAGAAGCAGGAATCTTTAGACATTGATGCTTCTAATTTAAATTATAAAAACTCTCGTTCAGCTGTTTATGCAAGATGGTTATATGAGCCTGATGGGACTGATAAATTAAATGCTTCCCATTTCAGAAGGGTTTTTCATTGTTCTTGTGGGAAGTTGGAAAATTCACTTGGATATGATTATGTTGAGATCAACATATGGGGGGAGTCATTTATGTTACATCAAGTAAGTATTTATTGCAACTAGATTCTATTTATACTGTTGAATTATTTTCATGTTGGTTTATGTTGATTTTGTATATCTAAGTGGAACATGTGTGGCAAATTTTCCATTATAGGCATCCAATTCTTGGGGCGGTTTTCTCCAATTTAAGCAAGACTACAATTTTACCTATAAGATATGCTAAGATCTTCTAATTGTTGCTAATTTCTTTCAGGGAAAAAAAAACAGCTGCTTGGTTTGCTTTCACATCATACATGAGATGTTGAAAGAAAAGTGAATTGAAAATTGATTAATCCCAGACACAACCATTGTATTATTGAATCAATCTGTCAATTTATGCTTTTCTTTTCATGTGGTATATAGAATTAACCATGACGTCCTAACAGTTAACAGTATTCTAATGCTCAGTGGTCAATTGCATGATGTCTTTCTTGGACAGTGGTTGTTGGTATAACAGAATAACTGACCCAAAATGAAAAGATATGTAATTGGACCAACTTGAAAGATGTTTGAATTCCAATGTAGCTTATTGAACGCAATTGTCGCTTGTCACTTGGTTTTAGGAGTCTGCCTCATTGAGAAAGAACCCTTAAAAACTTTGGCAAAGATGCTTTTCACGACATTGCAGCGGACAGTGGTTGAGTCCTACTCTTGCATGCTTCTTTTGACCTGATTGAGATCCACTGTCCACATTGGTGCCTAGTTGCTTTGCTTTAGGTTATAACTGCCATTTGGTAACTGGTTGCTTCTCTTTTATAGGCGAAATTAAATAACTTAATGGATTCCTTTGTAGAGTTAAATGCTGAACCTATGACATTATTATTAATCATATACAAACTAACTCAGTAACTCATCAGATACGCAAAATGATTGGAACAGCTGTGGCAGTAAAGAGGAACTTACTCCCAAGAGACGTTCTTGCGTTGTCACTGGTTAAATTTTCTCGAATTGTGCTCCCCCTTGCCCCAGCAGAAGTTTTGATTTTAAGGGGAAACACATTTAGGATGAGAGCAAGTGCTGGAAACATGACAAGGCCTGAAATGGTGTCTATGGTTGAATCAGAACAAATTCTTCAGGCAGTTGATGACTTTTATGTATCTGTTATGCTGCCTAAAGTTTCAATGTTCCTAGATTCATCAAGCTCTCCTTGGGCAGATTGGGTTGAGAAATTGGATAGGAACTCAAGCATTCCAAATGCTGAATTGGATGAAGTCAGGAAGGCTTGGAAAACATGGAAGGAAAAGAGATCAAATCCTGCATTAGATTCATAGTGAATGTATGTAATTGAGGTATACATGTGCCAATTCAGAGTTCAGCATTGAAAATAATGCAGCATCTGATATGGTCATATCTTGACTAGTAGACTCACCTGTTTGTTGATATTTATCTGAATTTGGTGGAAACCAGTTCATGATCTAACTGTTAACTGCAGTTTATGAAAGTAGTACGAGCAGATAATCCAGAATTTTTCTTCTTTTTCCAAACTGGTGGAGCTCTGATGCCTTAATGCAGGTCGGAAGGATGTTCATCTTAACATAAGGTGATGTAATTTGCTACTATCGTCCGCTAACATAAAATGCAGAAGATGTGGCAATCTAGTTTCAAGTTCTATTCATTTATACATAATGTATAATTGTATTTATATCTACTGTGCTTTGCTTAGAGAGTTTTTGTCCGTTCTTCTATTAAATTATTTTATGGAGTGGAAAGTCTCTTGGAATATAATTCACTTAGGTGGTGTTTAGATTGATGGATTTAGATTTTAGAGTTAGATAGTGCAAAAGATTTTAAAAGAAGAGAGACAAGGTGATATTTAAAATGAATACAGGAAGATTGGGAGTGACAGGTTGGCTTTAATTCTTCAATTGGCGAGAGACAAAAAGAGAAATGAGACAAGACGCAAGAGTGACGAAGACTAATATTGAAAACCGGGAACAGTCTGAAATGGTGGGAGTGACTTAATTTTAAATAATTATGATAGAGAAGAAATTTGAAATTAGAAAAGATTTATAATTTCAAATCTAGTTTTATAAATTTTTATGTATCTAAATAGAAGATTTGATTCAAATCCATCCAAGTTCCTATTAGTCTAAATACATTATCATTAAATAATATATTGAGAAAACAAAAACATTTTGGTTTTTTTTTTTGGTTTTATTACAGTTAGTTTGATCTTTTATGCACGCATACATGTGTTCTATAGTCTTCCAGTTGTCATTGCTTAATCTTTCATTTCCAATATAAAAACCCTCTTGGTTACTACTAGCATATGAGAATTTGGGGGAAAATTAGAGTTATTTTAATTTTTCTGAGCCAAATCTTTTCTGTTGTTGCATTGTGTCTAGGATAATGAATAAAATGAAAGAATGAAAGAATTAAATTATATGAGAATATATATATATATATATAGAGAGAGAGAGAGAGAGAGCTCTAATCACTCACACGCCCGCACAAAACCAAGACAAAATAATTACAACTATCCTCTTTCTAGATTTTGTATCTTTTACTGATTTGCATAATTTTTCTGCAGCATATTCCTCATATAATACAACTTTCTTTTTCTTGCTACACTTTTTTTTTTGCTAATAGAAGGCCACAGGTAAAATGTGCAAATAAACACCTTATGTTATGTTTGTGTACAAAAGATTTTTATAACTTAGTGGCGGGATATAAAAAAATATAAATATTTAAATTATCAATAAAAATTTAATGAGCCATTCAATTTGTGTATTTATTTGCCTTTTTAAACACCTGATCAGAAGTGATAGGTCAATCTCTCGTCACAAGTTTTTTGATTTTGTTAATAGTTGTAACTAAAAGATAATTTACAAATAACTCATTGCGTATTAACGTGAAAGCTTTTGTAGAGTTATAATAGATATTAACTTTATCAAATTTTCCAGCTTAACAAATATTAAGCCTTTATAAGATACCTATAAGTTTAGCTGCTGTATTGGAGTGATATTCATGTTCAATATATTTGGAGAAACCTTTGATTTAATTGCCTTGATCATCTCAAATGAAAGTACCACCAGCAATCACACCTTCATTGTTGATAGAGTCATTTATATCAAGTCTAATCTATCTTTCTCTAGAGGAAAATCATTTTGTTGACAGAACCATTTTACTTTCTATCTATCCCACTACACTTTTTGAAATCAAGCGTCCAATCAAGTCCTTTTCTTTTTCTTGTTTTGGTGGGTAAAGTCTTGTCTTTAACATTCTCATTGAATCGATAACTTGGTATCCCTCGAATATATAGCTAATAATGCTATTTTTCTGGTGTAAATTTCCTTTTTTCCCCCATCGTGTATGGGCGAATGGAAAAGTAATCAGATGTGGAGAAAGAGATTGACCAAAGAAAAATGGTAAAGAATAACTTTCTGTCATATCATTTTTTACATGGAAAGGGATAATATGACTATCACTCAAAAAAGAAAGAGAGAGCAAATTACAATCTTACACTAGTGTTTCCTATCACACTTTCATCACCCATCACTTTCGTACAAGGTAAGGAATAATCAAAGATACAAAAATCATCTAAAACTTAACATGGGAGTTCAGCTAAAAAATTAACACTACAATAGGTAGCGAGGGCAACATAGACAGTTTCACTAGAGGTACTAAAGTCTTCTGATCTTCCTTTCATGTTCAAAGAGAAACTAAGGCCAATGAACAAATCAGCACCTCTCGTTCTGATTTCTAATTTCATTAAACTTGTGAAATGAAAAGCAGCTTCTGAGACTAAAAAAGAAAGAAGACAACCTGACTTTCTGGATCTGATCATAAGGATCTGTTACTTTCCAATTTGGCGCACTGCAGTTCATCCCTGGGAATAATATAAACATTAGCTCAAGTAAAGAAGCAACTCTCGTCTTTCTGCTGAAGATATTGCCAAATTTTAGTAATTAAACGCTTCGTTCTGCTGTCTGCTCATTCTAAATATTCAACTATCATTTGATGGACATTGATCAGCAGGGTTATCTGGAGATAATTTGCAGAAGCATTCAGGCCAAGAATTTGTATAGAAAGACTCCGGTGTTACACGCTTGTGAGGTCCACCAAAGTTTGTTGTAAGCATGACTCTCCTGATCGCTTCCTCGAAGCCAGCAGTCCTCCCATTCTCTCTATCAATGAAAATTGGAGCAAGAGCTTTTCTATCAGGTCTGATTGTTGTCCGGAAACCCTCATAGAGGCGATGACCAAGGAGGTTGTTTGCAAAGTTGCTAGGGCCGTCATAAGTTGGCATAAAAATGTCAGAATGAAGACAGACCAAGTAATCCACAGCAGACCCTGCCAAGCCTCTAGTGTTCTCAGCAAGCTCATCAGAGGGTTCTATGGAACTATGATTTTCAAGGTTCGGAAACAGACTTCGAAATGGCTTCATAAACCGATCCCCACCAAACAGTTCACCAGCTGCTAAATATATCTTGGTAGCATTATCAAAACCCATTGAACGCAAAATAAGACCAACCTACCATGAGAGACACATTGACGGGTTGGCCAACTAATATTATTATTATGGTGTTCAACATGTTTGAAAAGCATAATTATCAGACACAAGTTAAATGGGAATGCAGCATAACTGACTTACCTCTTCCGGGGTCAATGGACACTTCCCAATGGCTCTTCTTTCATTATAGACAAGTCTTTTGGGTGCAAAATTTTCTTCTCGATATTTTCTCAATATCCGTTGTTCCTCAGAAGTAAATATATCGAAGCATCTAAATATCATGTACATACAAATATAAGCCAACCATCAAACACTTAAAAGTGTAACAGACAGATAATCCCAGAAATCAATGAGGTTGAAGATTGGATTCTATTAAGTTAAACAGCAGGTTAGTTCATTTTTCAATCCTAAAGTAGGAACACCTTGATACTTTGGCTCGACCCCCTGATAAAGACATGCAAGAAAGAGTATAAATTGACTTTCATGTGAATGGAACCAACAAGATTAGCACAAAACAATAGGTCAGAGAAAATGAATCTTGGCTAAAATCCATAACCTGTAAATTATAAGCTAAGTTGCTTTATCTAAGGTAATTACACTAACCCAGGACTCTGGTCAATCAATTATCACAAATTCCTAAACAGAAACAATGAGCATTTTGATCTTCATTCCTGCTTTAATGCATAAAATCACCAAGGATTCAACAAAGGTCCCTGGATAAATAGGCTCTTAAAGAAATGATCTATCAACAAGTTAGACCTCTTAAGTTTGATCTATCATCAGATTGAACCTATTTACATTCAAAGAAAAAGCATGCTTTTCATACGACAGCAGAGAGACAAATACCAATTATAGATATAATGTAGATGCTATTAAAATCCAATGAAACAAAATGGTCCACGACATCCCAAGAAAAGCCAGACAACTTACCCAGCAAATGCCAACATATCCATCTCAAAGCGGAGATGTATGGACATGAAATGACCTTGTGCCCGGAGCTTATTGACTATTGATTGACCTAGCTTCATAATATGGGGCTTGAACCTTAAAGCATGATAATTAACTCTACACCTCAGTCGTTGGTACTCAGCATTGTCAAGTTCTTCAGCTAATCGATGTGAAAAAGGAGTAAGATAGATGGCACCATGTTCCTTCATTTTCTCCAGAGCAACAGAAGTATACCAACTGATAGAAGCATCTCTTGGGGGTCGAAGCTGAGTTAAATTAAAGTGGAAAGTATTATCCAGGATATTGAAATTATATCAACCCCACGATCACTGATCAATAACTAAATTGCCATTTTTCTACCTGAAAGGCTTTTATTTTCTTCTTTTTGCCATTTTTCACAATTTCTGGGATGCTTTCAACAATCCTTACATCATCCTTCAGCGTCTCGATGAAGTATTCAACATCATAAATTCCATGGAAACCACTGTGCTAAGTAGACAGTTTATGGTTTTGGTTATTTCTATGACACCCAAACATAGTAAAAGGAAACGCAAATTAAAATTCAGCTCCAGACAGTGGGTAAAACAATTTTGGTTAACACACACACACTTGACACTCACAAGTAGGAAAAAGACTTATTGTAATGTGACACGAATTCATTGCCCCAAAAAAAAAAAAACAATTGATATAAAGTTTAAACAACTCAACTCTTAAAAACTTTGCCTCATATTTAAGCCATGTAATGCATGGTAATTGGCTACTAGAGCTAGATCACCTCTTTCATCGCTTTTTATGCCATGAGTTTAAATTTAACAGGGGTGCAACTTCTTGACAAAGAGGAAGGGTTGCCAGCTCATCAGTATGCTGATTGCCAAAGGTTTTGAGATAAATGTACCCAAGAAGTTCCTACAGATGGGGGTACATACAAGATTCTTTGTTCATCAGTTAATTGAGAAAGGAAAAATGTTTGGTGAATAGAATTGTTTAGGGTTAGAAACTACAAAACCCAATCCAAGACACCTAGCCTGCCCTCAAAGATTTAGACTAGGGTAGAATAGTCGATCTTGTTTTAAGATATAATTTAGGCTATTAGTTTTTTTAAGCTATTGTAAACAAACAGAAAAAGTTAAAGCAACCACAGCCCCACACACATGCATTATTGACAACGCAGAGAAGAAGAAAATTGGAAGAAAGAATGTCTAAGTTCAATACTCATAACCTCCTTGGCTTCTCCCTCAAGGTACAAGGTACTATTCCTTACATTTCTCCTTCCGCTCTTGTCACACTAATTTTCTCCTACACTCATCTCTCTTTCAAACTATTCTTGCCTTCAACTTATCATTCTTTTAAAATTTGTTCTAACCACACTTACTCAAACTCAAAGTTTCTAACTCTTTCTTAAATATGAACCTTATCTTGGATTCTAATTTAATTTCTTAAGATGATTCTGAAATCTGAAATATAAAATATAACCTAGGGCTCAGAAAGAAAGCGAACAACCCCTTATTCTGAAGTATAAACCATATTTTCTTTCGTTAGAACTTGCTCCACTTAAGTGCAATTTGTTTAATGCATTTTGCCTAAGTCATTTTAGAGGTTTATTGCCTTAAGGGTACCTTTCAATTTTGATTCCCCTTAAACATAATACATTCCAACTTCCGAGTCCAAAATTTGATCAATGGATGCATTAGGTCAAGACTCAATTAAGAGTTACATTAAGATTGTTACCTGTCATCACGCCAAAAGGAATTTGCGTCCAACTCAGGTAGCACAAGTATAGCATTCATTATTCTTGCAGCAAGAACAGCATTGGAAATCTATGGCATTGAAATGCAATATGTAAATATTATAGAAAAGCACAGTATAGCACGGCAACCCCATCATAACAATAGCACTGTACTTGGCTTTATTAGCAAATATATCACCAGAATTTAGTATACTTTAATTAAATTACTGAGAAGAAAACGGCAACGGAGTTTAAAGTTGAGAGACATGTACAAACCGCACTGCGCTGCTGATTCAGTCCACCATTACAGCGAACACGCAAATAGCCATTGATCTCATCTGGAGGAGCTGCCACAACTTATAATCAGCATAGAATGCAACAAAAGAAAATTCGGAAATTTTGATGTTCAGAAGAAAGCTACAATTAAAAGAAAAGAAAGATACGAGGCCAGTGAGATCGGGGAACTGATGATGGCCTCCAACCACCAGAATCAGCACCACTCCAAAGTTCTTCTAAGTGGATCTGTTTAAACAAAAGCGACGATGAATTGCCAATCCCGGAATACAAGGAAGAAACAAGCACTCGTAAAGAAGGTTTTGGGCAAAATCTATCATTTTTCCTTTCATTACATCAAAAAAAAAAAATTTGCCATTTAACCTACGGCTTGTGATTATAACATTGTAATTGTGCACTAATCGCAACGCTAGTCAAAATCCCATCTCACCTCCGTGCGGTAGTTGGATTGAACACTGGTAGTGATTGTTGATGAGAACAACAACGAGATTGTACAAATCAATAAGACTAGAACAGCAACTGACAACTTAATTATCATCCTGCTTATTCCTCCCCCTCCTCCTTGCTTCAAGTGCTGCCTGTGATTCCCAACTCCGCAGCAATAAAAAAACAACAAAGTTAAAATCTAGAAAATAAATAACAACCCCTAGGAGGGATACCCAATAAACCTTTGCTTGTTTTCCATTACCTTCTCATGGTTACGTTTCTAAAGGGTAAATGCGAGGATAAAGGACTAGCTCTCTTCTCCAATCGTCACACTTATTCAAATCCTCCAAAAGAACAACATGAATTGTTGCACCCTGAATCGCTACATCAATGTGCGATCAAATATCCGTGAAAACAATTAAAACAACGAAGCGCTCCATCGTATACTTTGATAAGTGAAATGTAAAGAATAACTAGCTAAACCATCAAGTTACGCTCAAATTGCTAACTTAAAATATAATAACAATACCATTAGAAGCAGACTCGGACTATGAAGGAATGCGGATCGAAAACGAGTTCTTGAGTTATGTCCAGATTTCGAAAATGGAACCAGGTATCGGTAGTGAGTGCAGAAGGAAGAAAGCGAACACTGTTCATCACAGTCACGTCGGCAAGTGCGAGTTTTCGGGTCGGGCGGGTTATCAAGTATCATATTTTGAGTGTCGAGTCAGGCAAGATCCGAGTTTTTGCAAGCTAGGATTGTTTCATGGCAAATCATTACATGTAATTTAAAAAAATAATAATAAAATTTTATTCTCTCTATTTTAAATTATAAGATACTTTTAAAAAAAATTAATATTTTAAAATATAAGACATTTTAATAAAAATAAGGTTTCATTAATAATATTTTTTTAATATTACCCTTCTTATACATTTTCTTTTTTCAACATTATTTTATTAATGGAACATTAAATGAATAGTATTTTTAAAAGTTTATATTTTTATTTTAAAAAAATAAATTTGTAAAGTGTATTTAATAAGTTTTATTGATATATAAAAATTTATTTAAAAATATCGTATAATTTAAAACTAAGAGAGTATTAAAATATATAAATAATAATTAGTTTTTTTGGGAATGTCATTATTTTTTAATGTCTCTAAATACCTCTATGACATTAATAATTTTAAAGTAAATAATTAAATTGATCTTTCTTAAAATAAAAAAAATAAATGGTTCATGTGAAATGTTTTGTTTCCTTATTCAATTATTACAGTGCAAATAATAAAATTTGTGATTTTTTAATAAAAATTATACATAATTATTTTTAAAACTTGAATTTTAAAGATAATAAAATAAATTGTAATTTTTTATTTAATTTTTATAATTTACAGTATTAAAATTATAATTATTTAAATAAAAGTTATGATTATAATTAATTATTTTTAAAATTTATTTATTAATCGTAAATAAATTTTACATGAAAAGTCATAAATTTTTGTTTAATTTTTGAGATTCATAAAATAAAAATTATAATTATTTAAATAAAAGTTGTTAGTTAAAAATAAAGTCAAATTTATTATTTTTATTTTAAACAAGGGACAATTTAATTATTTAAAAACATTGATGTCAAAAAATACTTAAAAATTTTGCAAAAATTATAATATTTTAAGCCATTTATTTATCATTATGATTTATATATTTTGAGAGGACATATATGTAATATCGACACAAATAGGGTGCTTTTACTAATCTCAACACGAGAAGGATAATTGTATGTCATATTTTCATGATTATACAATCGTGATAAAAGTACAAACAATGACCCCAGGAAATGTAAACTCGAAATTTGCAAATTACATATAAGTACCCTTGCTAAAATGCAAAAAATCTAACAAATTGCTTTCAGAAAATGGGTCCCGCACTATTTTTCTTCCGCCAATCATCATCAAACAATTGACCAGACCTGACACAAGTCATGATCAGTGTTCGCCCATGAGACCCAGCTTTTTACACAGGTTTTTAACTTCTGAGTTTTGATGATGGTATCGACGATTTAGGAATCAAGATTAAAGAGTGAAAGCTTTCACGATGTTATGGAAGAACCCATTTAGCTTGGTTTGTGCCATATTAAAATGATTTTTTTAGATAAATTGTAATTGATAAAGAAATTAAATGTGAATGCATATTTATTTTTGGAGTGAATAGTCAATTCATTTCTCAAGAATATTTATTTACAAAAGCGAGGCACGGTTTTGCAAGAAAAACCACCAAGCTACAAGAATAATTGTACAAAAGAAAAAAATATAATAGAATATACTTTTCCTGTTAAAAAATGTGAGGAATTTTTAATTGAATTTCACCTCTTAATAAAGCAATTACTTACTTTTAAATTAACTTTATCTTTCTATATTCATCTCTATTAAATACCCTACAATAAAACTATAATCATTCATCAATAGAAACACTTAAAAAAAAGCAATGATTATACCTTAAAATAATTAAAAGTATTTTATATTTTTTAACATTTAATTTTTTAAAAAATATCTTATATTTATAAATAAAAGGAGTAACAAATAGAATGAAATCAGAATGTGAGATAGTTAGTAGCTTCCATAGCTCTGATGGTGTGTTGATGTGTTGAGCTAATACTAATGCTTCATTCACAAATCACAAGTCCATATCATATGAGAGGGGTAGTAGCAAATAGCCTCCTATTGCCAGTTCGCCAAAATTTCCAATAGAGCAAACCAAAAGTAATTGTCCATAGTTAACCTTTGAAGTGAGAATTTGGGCCCTTTGTTTACTTTTTTAAAAAAAATTAAGTAAAAAATAAGAACAAAAATATATTAAATTATTCAATCTCTCATGATAAAATATATATATATATATATATATATAAAGCTCAATATCACATGTTCGAAGTGCAAGAATCACCATATCCATTATAAACTTTAAGAAACATGATTTCTACTCTCATAAACTATATCCATCCCCCTTTTAGGAATATGGTTGACTTATCTTTTCTCCACCTCTTGATTATTATATTTTTATTTTTTAATCCATTTCATTTTATATATTTTTCAACAAGCAAACAAGCCTTATGTTTGACCAACGAAAAATTATGTTATAGAAAAAATAAGAGATGCCGCTAAAAAGAAATAAAATAAGTGCATTTTTTATTTTCTTTCTAAAAAACAATTTTCTATCCACCAAACATTACATTAATACTTGTAGTTGAAAGCAAGCACCGGGAAGACTCGAACTAGTGGAACACCAGACCAATTTCACACCATCTTTCAATATGGGTTCACCCCGTCCCCGCAATCAAACAGCTTGCTTTCACAGGAAGAAGCAATTGTGAAGACACAATTTTTCGAACACTAGGCTCCTTCATAAGAAGCAAGGGGCTGTAGAATAGCTGCAAATCTGCAATCTCATTCAAAATATTCGGGGGCAGAAGGTCTTGTATGGCATACCGGTTGTAGTTTCCGTCGTAACACTATCTTGGATTCTTGGTTTTTTTTTTTTTTTCTGTGTTATTTCAACCCTCATTTCGATTTTTGTCTGATGAGGCATCACAAATAAATGGATCGTGGACGCGTTATTTTGAATCGAAAAGAAAATTGAAGGGTAGGGAAAATTAATTTGAATCAAATTATTTGATAAAAGAGGGGAAATAACATTTTACTCGTGGAAAGAAAGGAAAAGGAAGGGTGGGAAAACTAAATATTAAAACGCAACATCATCCACCCAAATAAAATATCACAACCATAGGAAGCAGAGGCAACATAACTTGTTAGGGTAATGATCAAGCACACAGCCTATCGAACTACATAAAGCCAGGGCTATAGTTCATTTAAGTTTGGTTGGATTTTTGCCAAACAAAACACAACACAAATGCAGATAAGCAGATTGAAGGGAAGAGAACAGTATTCTCAGAATTTGGTTATATCTGTCAGGTGTCTTTATGTAGATGTAGGTGTAGATGACTTTGTTCTGCTCAGCTGCAAAGGACCTCAACACGGTCAGGAATCATGCACAACAAATATTGGAAACTCAAATAAATACTCCGCCTCTTTCACTTTTAACCACCCCTCTCTAAACGAGTACAGTATCATCATTCATCACTCAATATAAAGTTTCAGATTGCAGCTAAGACTCATTCTTTTCAAATTCCATATCCAAGTCAATGCAAGAAACAATCTGGAAAAAAAAAACAGAGAAAGAAAGAGAAGAGAAGAGAAGAAAGTCCCAGCAACAACCCCGGAAAAAATAAAAACACGCATAAGAAAGAAAGAAAACAAGAGCATCCTCCTTCCTCTCACTTGTATTTCCGTGGGAAAAAAAAAAAAAAGGACGATAATACTACTGTAATGGTGTTCCTTTTTAATGATATACATGATAAACGTAATGCATTTTTGTCCACGACATATTTTTGAGTGTGTGAAACATATACATACAGCATGCTTGATATGATAAAAGCTCATTTAAAATTTTACCTTTTTGGGCAAGAAAGATAAATACAATTACGAAGTGCTGGAAGCTAGAAGTTCCATCTGTTGAGTAAGATGATCAATATGTTTTATCTTATCCAACATTTCCTGTCCATTCTCCTTTCTAGATGGAGGTTCCCCTTCCTCGGTCAAACCATCTCCAAGAGAGGGAGAACTAATTTCATCTGTATCACCCGTAAGCGGACTTGCTGTGAAAAACTGTTCCCAGAAAACATCACTAATGCTTGGGAGCTTTGAAATTCCATCTGGATCAGGTGAAAAGGCATCAGCTTCTACATCTACAGACTCTGTCCCATCCAAAACTGCTGACATCATGTCTATATCCCCTGCATTCCCAGTGTCAGGCCCCCCAAAAGCGAGGTCAGGATTCACTAAACTGCTCTCTGTTTGGACTTCACCAATACCCAAAAAATTCTCTGGGCAATTATGCAAATTTAATCCCGGGAATTCAGCTACTTTAGCAGGGTCAGTCAACATAGCACTGGAAGATTGCATCTCCGGAACACGATTAACAGGCAATTGTGATTGCCCTGCCATATAAGACTGGCAAGAAGTGGGCGGAACCTCAGAAAGTGTCACTCCTGAAGCCCGACTAGAGGAACTCCCACTATCTAATGCAATGGCAGAAGGAGCATCATCAATGAGAAAAGCATCAGGGTTACTTATTGATGTTTCCCTCCTTGAAGAAGCATTCATTTGCAATATCTGGCGCAATAATGCTTTTGCAGCCTCATTCATAGAAGGTTGATATTTAATAACACGTCCATCAACAGCATTATAGAGATGCTCAGAGGCTAGTGCATCTTCTTCCTGTCTGTGGAGCCTCCTCTTTTTATTGCCTCCAGTAATATGTCTGTTACTGTCACTCTGCTGCTGTACAAACTGTGCCAAGAATCCAGGGTTTTGCATGGCCTTTGCAAGAAATGACATCATTTGTTGCTGACGCTGCTCCATAACCTGCACACGTTGCCCAACACCTTGCAACTGGTTATCAGTTGCTTGCTGCTGTTGTCTCAGCCTGACAAGTTCTTGCATAAGAACATTCTTATCCCTTTTCAATTGTTCAACCTCTTCCTCAAGCCCAAACTTTCCAACCTCAATACATGCCCCAACAGGTTTGTTCTGTGCTGGAGATGGCTGTTGATTACCATTCACTTGAGTAGGCTTCCTCCTACTGATACTCTTCAAAAGTTGTTTCTGACCCCTTAAAAATCCCTCATTTGCAAATTCCCAGCGGTCTGGGTCGACTTTTCTAAAACCCTAATTATCAATTAAAATAAATGATGTGATTAAATAAAATTTAGACTAAAAAATTATATAGAGGAAAATGCATCATGAGTTGTTACATATATTGACAGTGTATGATGCAAAAGAAAATTAAAACAACAATCAGTTTTCAAGTGCATGAGAACACAATCAATTTCAAAAAGTAGTGCTAAAAATTTTATCTAGATGTTAGAGTGAAGTTTCCTACGCCGAATATGAGGAGCAAGCAGTTCCCTACCTGTTGGTCCAAGTGGCCTTCCCTATGCCTTCTGACAATCTCCCAGCAATTTAAGCTCAAGATAGCAAGGTGAGGAACAGTCCCCATTACTATTTGAGCTAAAATCTGTTGGTTAGCACCGGATAATTGTCGTAATTAAACATCTATATTAGAGTGCCCAGTAATAGATCCATGTACACCAAATCTAGTATCCTATTAGTTGATTGTAAACATTGTCCTGCAATATAAAACTGATAGTCATGTTCTTGTTACACTTGTATTTCTACTCATATCCTTTGCTCCCACTAGAGCCCCTAACCAAGGTTACAAGAAGGTTGATTAATAATTAAAATTTTGGCACCTAAAATGATGGGTAAGCTCATATGTTTCCTGTACCAACTAAAGAATCCCCAATCCTTATTCTCGGCAGTCTATCAATCTAGTGAATATTATTGTGTATGAAGGGGCCTTAGGGCAAGATGAACAATTACTAATTGAAAAGAAAACGACAACAATCCCATGAGATAAAGTTATGTATATCATTATTAATACCATTACCAAGAGAAACTGCAAAAAACAAAAGAATACATAACATGTGTATGTACTGACGCTTTTTTGAGTTGTTGAGAAACTTATCAATCATTCAAAGACAATTATTTGAAATTACATTTCTAATAAAATTTGTCCTCTCTAAAGCTTATTTCAACATTCATGGGAATCGATATTGAAATACAAGGAGATTGTACAGCTTTTCATTATTTAGAGACGTCTGCTTCGTTTTATTTTCTTTCCATATTTCCTTTTCTGGAGGTTTCCTCATCCCATGAAATGCGCTTTCTTTCCTTTCTATCTGATAATGACATGTTATTTCACAAGAAAAATTATTTAGGCCAGTTAACCTCATCTAGCTTTGCTCATACAATACTCTATAAATTTACACCTGTTCATTTCAGTAGAGCTCTTCAACTTTAGTACACATGACAGGTAATGTCTTATCAAGATTTTTAATGTATTTGTGGCAAGTTTCCCCATGACATTGCTGCATCATTGTCAATTCATCAGTCTTGCAAGTTTTGGCATCACACTCTTAAACAATACAGTTCCGATTAAGTTTCATGCAGACATGCTGGAAGCCTAGAAAGCCCATTAGCTATTTCACCATTCATTCTTCAAAAGCATGGTTTCCTCAGCTACAAACCAACCAAAGTTACTGAGAATGAACCACAAAGAGACTAAATGCTGATGCCGGAGGGGAGAGAAAAATAAATTTATTAAGAACACTTACTCAAGTCAAACAAAGTAAAATCCACATACAAGACTTTATATCTAGCAACAGCAGCAACAACAATAACAACAAGCCTTATCCCACTAGGTGGGGTTGGCTAGTGGGATAAGGCTACATGGATTATATGAAGCCATTGTACTCTATCATTTATTAAGTTTTTAAAAATATTGTTAATTAAAAAGTCTCGCTCAACAACCTTCAAAAGTGTTTTTTTCGGTCTTCCTCTACCCTTCTTGACAGGACTCAAAATTATTTGTTTCACTCTCTTCACAATTGCCTCTCGTGATCTTTTTCGTACATGTCTGAACCACCTCAAATAATTTTCTACCATTTTTCCTTTCAATAGATACCACACCCACTTTCTTTTGTATTTGCTCATTTCGAATTTTGTCTTTACGTGTATATCCACACATCCATCTCAACATTCTCATCTTTGCTACTTCAACTTCATACTCTTGCTGTCCCGTCAAAGCCCAACATTCACTGCCATATAAAATTTCTAGTCTTATAACAGTTCAATAAAACTTTCCTTTGAGCTTATTAGATACCTTATGATTGCAAATAACTCTTCTAACCTTTCTTCAATTAAACCACCCCGCTTGCATCATATGTGCAATATCTCCATCAATTTCCTCATTTTGTTGAATAATCGCTCCCAAATATCTAAACTTTTTCACTTGAGGTATGATCTGATCACCCAATTTCACTTCCAAGTTACCACTTATTGACCTCTTATCAAAATTATAATGTAAATATTCTATTTTACTCCTACTCAAACAGAAACCTTTTGACTTCAATGTCTTTTTTCATAACTCAAATTTACAATTTATTTCTTCTTGTCTCTACAATAACTTTATATCTAGCAAAGTAATAAAAAATTGACGGAGTAGTGATATATCCGTTCAGCGGGGAAATTCAGTTTACTTTGTTACCTTACTGAGCAAACCAAGATATATATAAAAAAAAATTCTCATTAATCCAATATTAGAAAAGTCGAGCATGCCCCTTGAAGGTGTAAGCTGATCCGCAAGTTTGAAAATATAAACTAATGACAAGCCACAGTACATAGATTAGGCAGATTATTGACAACATCCAAAGAGCAATGAGAAAGAGAGAGTTGAAGCTTCATCAAACCTTTTATATAAAGATATCAAATCCATTTCACCAATTATATCCAATCCAAAAGGTCAACAACATACCATGCAAATGAAAACATACACACACATAACTATTTAAAGAGAACAAATTTCATTTGAATGAGTGTCCTTGAATTAGAATGGAGTTTCTCCCTTAAAGCATTACCAAAGATTGACATCAAATAGAAATTATACATGTTCGGTTGAGCCTTCAAAAGGAAAAAAAAAAGGAGACACAAGTAGTGCAAACATTAACTCGACTTCATAAAGATCTAAAGGCATAATGGATCAATGGCCTCTTCAAAATTACAGAGTCTCTTGAATATCATCAGGAAAAATAAATCACTGAAACTAGGGATACCAATGAAGAAAAAACAAGCTGGAATTCAGCTGATCTAAGTCTCTACTGTTGACTAAAAGGCCTACAAACCGACGTGAACAAATATTTCAAACAAAATTTTCAAGTTCTTGATATCTCTCTAACTGCTAGAATCTCAAGAAATCACTATTTTCTTCAAGCAAAAAAACCCTCCATGATCCCCCCCACCCTACAAAAAAAAAAGAAATAAAAATAAAAATAACTACCAGAACTTCCACTTCCATACTTCACAAGCACCATTATACTCCATGACAATGATACCCTCAATATATCTCCGTCATACCACAAAAAAACGGGGAGAGAAGATACGACGCCAAAGCATCAGGATAACAATCCTCCATCCCTAGTGAGATCCACGCAATTGATCCTACTCTTCATGTAATTACGACCCCCTTTGCTCCCAAAATCAAATTACAAGCAGAGAAAATCACAATCAAGACATAAAAATGTCCAATTATAAACAAGCATAAAGAGTTAATCCAGATTAAGTGAAGATAATTTAATATAATGATAACGGGGGTGTCGGAGAAAAGATAAGAGAAGCCCACGTAAGTATTCAATTGCCTGACGAAGCTGGAGAAATTGTTGTGCTTAAAATACTTGGGCAAGATGTCCCTAGCGAATTCGGGCACATCCCAAACAACAAAGCTGTTGTTATTTTCAGTCCATGAGACCACCGAGTTTGTGGAAGGATCGTCGACCATGTCATAGGTCTTGCTGAGGAATGGCGGCGGAGAATTCATATTTGCCGCCGCGGAACTCGCCGCACTGCCATGAACTCCATCCATCATTGTAAAAAGAAGGCGAAATGGAATCGGAAGAATCCCGATGGAATATAGATCAAGGAGACTCTCTGTAACGTGAGTAACGGAGGGATAAGAGAGAGATAAGAGTGGACTGGCGGGGAAAGGGTTTTTGTTCGGTATTTTTAGGGATTTTTCTATTCAGTCCAGGGAGAGGAAAGGGAAACTGGCAACTTCGTTTCTCTGACACTTCCGAGTATCATTGCCTTGGCAATGAAGAAATGTCAATTAAAAAAAAATATATATCTATATATATATATATATATATTTTTTTTTTTTAAGTCCCTAGCTGTCTATTGGAATTTGTTTTTTTGGAAGATGACTTCTCCGAGTTAAAAAAAGTAAAAGTTGTCGCTTGGTACAATGGTATTTATAAGTTAGTGTTTATAATTAAAAAAAATATATTTTTTTATTCTTATACTTTACTTACATTTTATTATAAATTTTTATATCTTTTTAATATTTTAAATCCTTATATTTTTATTTTTTAATATTTTAAATTTTTAAATGAACAAATTATAAAAAGCTTGGATAAACATAAAACATCAAAAAATAAAAGTATAAAAATTTAAAATATTAAAAAAAGTGTAAAAATTTATAACAAAATATGAGCAAAGTGCAAAAATTAAAAAGTATATTTTCTCTTAAAATTATAATGAAAAGATTCTCAGAATGATTAAGTTATTTAAAATATATGCATTTATAATATGTAATTTGAAAAATAATTATGTGTAAATAATAGAATTTATGCTATTGATATTAGCCGACAAAACTCATTGATAATAATAAATTTAAATTTAAATAGTAGTCAAGGTCTTTCTACTTAAAATACGCATATGCTATATACCATTTCAATGCTAAAAGTGAAAATTAAGATGACGAAGAAATTAATAATGGTGACTTTAAGTGGTTATTTGTAATTGGGTAAAGGAGGAAATTAATCCCTAAATTATAGGTTAAAAAGTATTTAGAACTTTAAATTTATTTTTGTACAATTTTACCTTTTAACCTATTGTTACCAGACTCTTAAATTAATTTTTTAAATTTATCATTTTTATATCTCTAATTTATAAAATTGTGTTAACTCGATCATAAATTTAAATTAGATAAAACTTAACTAAACTCGCGAGTTAACTTTTTAAGTTTATTATTTTTATGTATATATCTTATATAATCATGCTAATCTGCTCATAAACTCGTTAAACAATATATGTATATATTATGTAAAACTTAGTTCATATAAGCGGTAGGACCTGATTTCATGAAAATAAAACTAAAAAAACTAATATTAATAAAAATGAAAACAAAAAATACTAAAATAAGTTGCCCTATTTTGAAATTTCTATATTAAATATAATAATCTATAAATGTAGATAGATTTAATTTTAATTATTCATATTTAAAATATATTTAAATTAAATTATGATCATGTCTTATATTTTAATTATTTAACCATATACTTTTAAAAGCTATTTATTAACAAAGATAAACTCTTATAAGTTCACAATTTAAATATACGTTTTGAATTTACATCCCTGTCATAAGTTTACGTGAACTCACGAGTTTAACAACCTTATTTCAACCTTTTTAAAAATGGTACAATTTAGTTCCTATCATTAATAAAAATTACTCCCTTCATTTAAAATTATAAGGCATTTTTAATTAAATCTCAACTCCCAATAAAGTAATTACTTACTTTCAAACTAACCCCATTTTTGCATATTTATCCTTATTAAATACCCTACAATAAATATAAAGCTACTATCAATAGGGACATTTTAAAAAAAATAATAATTATATTTCAAAAGACTAAAAATGTCTTATATTTTTGAACGGAGGGAGTAACTTTGACCATAAATTGACAAAAAAAATGATAAAAAATGACCTCAAAAATTATTATAAAAAAAGATCAATAAAATTTTATTAATCCTTTTATATAATTTTTGGGTCATTGTCTGTATTTTTTTTAATTTTTTTCATCATTTTCTGGACAACTAACATTAAAGTTAACTTTTACTAATGATAAAAATCTGATTACATCATTTTTAAAAATAAAAAAAATATTATATAAAAAATGAGTTTAAAATTTCTTGATTTATAATTTAAAGGCCAATTTGATCTTACATCTTTTGTAGTTTAAAATATTTAAAAAAACGGATTATAAAAGAAGAAAAATATAAAGAAATTCAAAGCTGTTGATAATTATGAGGAATGTCATCAAAGACTCGTAGACGCAAATGGCATTTTGGCCCTATGGAACCCTGATCTTCTTATCCAAGCCCACTGGACTGTAGTAAAAATATACGTGGAAAAATAGCATTTAAGGATTGCTGAGAAAAATTAATATTAATCAAAGACTAATTGACTTTAAAATTATATTGTAATTCTTTGATTTTTGACTGCTATTAATTTCTAAAATCAAAAGTTTAAAATGTCCCTCAAGTTAAAACAAAAAACAAAACCCTGCCACTGAAAATAATTAATTTAGGTGGTCAAGGAAGGGTTTGATTCCATGACCTTTGACCACTTAAAAAGCTTGATGGAGCCCTTTAATCATACATAGCAATGTGTGTGTGTGTGTTCATGTAACAATATAATGGTGTATTATTAATTTTTGAATAAAACTTATTATTTTACAAATATTACTTGTTAATTTGATATGAATAATTACAAATTGAGAGCTTTAAAACTTCACAAATTTTACTGGTCAAACGTTCAAATATATTATTGTTAATAATGAATAGGTTGTTATTAAAATCAAAATGGATATTTGTTAATGAATAACTAACACGTACTATTAAGCTCTTCCTATCAATTTTTTTAACTTGTTAAAACCGAAATAGATTATTGTTAATTTTAAATGAATTGTTGTAAAAATTTAAATATACACTTATTGATCACAGGTCTAATAAACTATTGCTTTTCTAGCTTGTTAAGTCCGAACGTACTATTGTTAATTTAAAATGAGTTGTTTTCAGAACCTAAATAGATATTTATTGATGAAACACTAATACATATAATTATGTCAATTCTATATGTCTTTCTAGTTTATTAAAGCCCAAATAGACTGCTATTAATTTAGAATGAGTTATTGTCAAAATCCAAATAAATACTTAATACTGATGATTAAAAGCACAAGTTTAATGGAATAGGTGCATAAAAAACAACAATTTTTAATTAACAACAGTCTATTTTGGCTTTAACAAATTAGAACAGCATATAGAATAAGCATAATTGTACATGTTTATTTTTTATCAATAAGTACCCATTTGGATTTTGACAATAACTTATTTTAAATTAACAACAATCCATTTAGTTTTAACAAGCTAGAAAAGCATATAGGATTGACGTAATTATATGTGTTAATCTTTTATCAATAAGTATTCATTTGAGTTTTAACACCATTCATTCAAAATTAACAACAATCCATTTAGAATTTAACAAGCTAGAAAAGCAACAGCCCATTAGAACTGTGCTTTTAATCATTAACTACAAATATCTATTTAAGTTTTTACAATAATTTATTTTAAATTAACAACAGCCCATTCGTGCTTAAAGCCAGGAAAACAGATAAAATAGGTTTAATTGTATGTGTTAGTCCTTCACCAACAAATATACATTTAGGTTTTCACAATAATTTATTCAAAATTAAAAACAATCTATTTTAGTTTTAACAAATTAAAAAAAACTGATAGGAATGGCTTAGTTGGATGTGTTAGTTATTCATTAACAACTATCCATTTGGTTTTAACAATAACCTATTCGTGATTAACAATAATATATTTGGATAGTTAACAAGTAAAATGTATGAAGTTGTAAAGCCCCCAATTTGTAAATATTAATATCAGATTAACAAGTAACATTTGTAAAATAATAAATTCTATTCCAAAATTAACGACACACCATTATATCATTACATGAAAGTAGTTAAAAGCTTGGCTTACTACTTATATATATACATATATATATATCTATATATATTTGTTATAAATGATTAAAGGGTTAGGTGATGGGTTATGGGATCAAACCCTTCCTTGATCATCTAAACCAATTATTTTTGCAATAAAATGTTACTAGAGCTCTGGTGATGGCCTTGTTGCTGTCGACGGTTCAATGGTCGACAATGGGTGGGGTATCCTTTTTTTTTTTTTTTTAACTTGAGGGATAATTTCATCATTTTGCTTACAAAAATTAATATGAAAGAAGGACTAGAAGATAGAAGAATAAATACCCAATCATTTAGTCCTTGTGTGGTATAAATTTGACACCATGCTATTTTCCCAATATATTTCAAGGTCAAAATCTGAACACGCACGTTTTATTTGGAAAATCATTGCATGTTAATTTTTAAAAGTAACTTGGAATTGTACGAGTAAATATAACATGTAACACCAAGGAATTGATTTGTAAAAATTCAAATACATTGTTGTTAATTACAGAATTTTTACTTGTTATTCTCAATGGAACAACTGAACAAGTTGCCACTCTTTTGTTGTGCGGATGGATTGTATTTAATTTTAAAACTATAGGGTTGGATCAGGGGCATAATAGTGCATGGAACAAGCTATCCACTTTTACCTGCTGGGAATTGTAGAAAGCAAGATGCACAAAAAATTTCAGGTTTAAATATTGAAGATGAGATATTCATAGAAGCGTTCCAGGTTTACAGCTAGACAAGATCAAACCGAATCATAAACAATCTAACCAAGTCTTGCTGTTTGGTATTGGATACCCTTGCAAGGGTTGCACTTGCACGGTCAGATTGGACATTGAGAATTCTGTCATTTTGAATGGAAGTGATGCCTATGGAGAGGATATATAGCTGGTAGGCTATGGATGCAAAGTGGTATACTATCCTATTACAGCTCTGGATGTTTGGGGAATCATTTTATGGTCTTCATGTTTGCACTGTGATTCTTTAGAGGCCATCAACCTTGTGATCAGATGCTGTGATGAAAAATCATCCTTATGTTGACCTCAATTGAAGAATTACAGGAATGCTTGAGAAAAACTGGGAAGTGAAGGTGTACCCCAAGTGAATACATGCTGTCTGCATATTGGAAGGCAAGAAATGCTCACCACTTGAGTTGGTTTCCTATGCTTGATCATGTTGAAACCCCCACCAAAAAAAAAAAAAAAAACTGTAATATTTTAGCTGTTTGAGAGAGAGAGAGAGCTAGCTAGCCCAGCGTATTCCAAAAGGGGGAGGAAAAAACACGCACAAACACATACACAAAATTTCTTGAGCACTAATTCATAGAATACAATCAAGTCTTATTTCACTAGGTGGAGTCCATTACATGCATTACATGATGCCATTGTACTTTGTCTGCAACTAAGCCTTTGGAATGTGAAGCTATCTATTCCACTTTCCTCACTAAAGCCTTCCACAGCCTTCTCTAGACTACTAATTCATAGAATAAGATGGGAAGAATGCGAAGAGAAAATGTGATTTTGTAGTTTGAAAATTTTTCTTTGCATGCTTGAATAAACAAAAATAATAATAATAAAGGGCAGTTATTGTTAAATAATGATAATAAAATATAATAGATTGCAAGAGGAGGTGAAAGAAAATAGTACCTTCAAGTAAATCATTTAGCTTTACTCTGATCGCCAAGAATATCACTGCTGCCTTCTGCTTGTAAGCTACAACAAGATGGATCATATGATTTAGTATATTTATGACCGTTATTGCTAGGTACTATGTTTTTTTTTCTAAATGCTACAAAATAAGAAAAGCTTATGGATATTTGTCGTGCATCATGATCCATTTCTATAGCAAGTAGCAATTTTTTTGTGCTGCAGAAAAGGAAGAAGAAAACATAGGAGACTGTATGGGACAAGATTTGATCTTTTTCCAGCCAAAGTTGTAGGGTACAAGTTGGACTCTCATGCAAAAAATCATTACAAGTAGAAGAAAGGATGTTCATCACCTAGGAAAAAGGAAAAGAAACAAATAACAACATAACAATATCATGTTAAGCCCAAATTAGAAAACCAAAAGGAACATTATAAAATCAGAAAAACGATACAAGTAAAAACGTTGACATCATTTATGACCAATGACTAGTGTCCTGCAGAGGTGTACCCCATGTGGTCAACAATTGCAGCTATTTATAAGAAAATTTGGTTCACCTGCCTTCCATGGAAAAAATTTAAACGATATCTCACCCAGTTGTCATTTATTTCAAAAAATGAAACTGCAAAGACAAAAATCCATGGTTGGAAAATGAAAGGATTTGACTGATAGTTAATATCAAAAGTGAACCATTACAACATGAAAAAATACACCAAAAAAGGGTAAAGAATTTCAGTACAAGAAGCTTACTCAATCTATCAAATACATTCCTGAGCACAAAATCCACTTCTACAGGCTTCACTTTTTATTAACAAGAACTGGTTGTTCATTTGGTACGAGGCCCCAGTGATTGCTGGATTTTTTTTGTTGTGTATCTCTTATAGCATAGAATAGCACACCTCTCGTACTACCAATAATCACCACAAGAGCAGATCCCATCTTGAAAATGATGGTAACATATGGGATCCCTTATTACAATATGCCGCTGCTCTAGCTTCGCTGCAAGTTTTGCAAATAAATGACAATCTCCACATATCCTTAGGTTCTTCCCTATTCTAATAGTTTTCTCCCTAGGATAATTCATGATACCAAAGACAATTGCTAATTTCTCACTGTGGTATCGAAGGGAATTTTCTCCCTGTTCCTCTTCAAGATCTTGCAAGACAAAATTTGTCTCAGGAACATAACCAACACTAATAAGTCGAGCAACAAGTTCATTCAACTGTCTGTTGATCTCATTTATTTGAGGGTGCGATTTACCTCCCAAAGTAAAAGCATGTATCTGCTTATTGACGTCAATCCAGCTACATCCAGGTTCTTTCCTCACACCTCTCACTCTCATACTTCTCCTAACTTCTGCAACATCATCCCACCTTTTTGAATTTGCATAGATGTTAGATAAAAGTACATAGGCTCCTGTATCCTGTGGATCCAGCTTTAGTATTTCTTTGGCAGCTAATGTGGCTAAATCCATATTTTGATTGACCCTGCATGCATCAAGCAAAGTCCTCCACATCACCACATCTGGCTTGCAATCCATTTCATTGATTAACTTAACTGCATCATCAAGTTTCCCAGCTCTTCCAAGAAGATCAAGCATGCAACCATAATGCTCTCTTCCAGGATCAATCCCATAAAGGTTCTTCATAGAATGAAAGTAGTACAAACCTTCATTTACAAGCCCTGCATGACTACATGCAAACAGAACCCCAACAAGTGTGATGTAGTTTGGTTTTGGACCAGACTTTTTCATGTACTCGAATAAATTAAGTGCCTCCATGCTACAACCATTTTGGGCTAACCCAGCAATCATGGTACTCCAAGAAATTACATCCTTCTCCATCATCCGATTAAAAATTGACTTTGCATCTTCCAAACTACCGCACTTACAGTACATATCCAAGAGTGCGTTGTTGAGGATCAGATCCTGGTCAAACTTCAGAACATGAACATGGACCTGCTGTCCTAATTCTAACATTGATAAACTAGTACATGCTCTCAAAGCACTCGTCAGTGCTGACTGATCAGAAAGAAAACCAGCTCTTCTCATGCTTTTATAAAGGTACAGTGCCTCATTTCCATCACTGTGCTGAGCAAAAGCCCCAATGATGGAATTCCAAACAACGGAGTCTCCGGTCACCATCTCATTAAAAACATTTAATGCTTCTTGCAGATCACCCAATTTCGAGTAAATATCAATAAGAGCACTCCGGACAAACACATCAGACTCCAATCCTACTTTAGTTATACTAGAATGCAGTTGTTTGACATCAGACAGCCTCTCACAAGCTCTTAAAACAGAAGAGAACGTGAACATGTTAGGCGTGACGCCTTCTCTAAGCATAAGAATAAAAAAATTCAAGGCCTTTTCATTGAGCTTAGAATTAGAGTAAGCGGATATCATAGTCGTCCATGAAACAACATTTCTTTCAGGCATTTTTTCGAACAGTACCTGTGCTTCTTCCAAGAGATTGAATTTCACATACATGTTGAGCATAGTATTGATTAAGAACGTCTTTGGCTCATAACCATTCGAGAAAATGTGCTTATGAACACGCTTACCTTCCCCGATAGCCCCACGAGCCAAGCAACACTTAACAAGCTCAGAATAGGTGATCGCATCTGCCCACACCTTGTGCCTTTCTATGGCTTCCAAGGCTCGCATGGCTCTGGGAAGGTCTCTGTTGTAGCAGAAGTTGGTGAAATCATTGAGCAGTAACGAAGAATTTACAGACGAACTAGTTCTGGATGCAAGAGATGTGAGACAGGACGAACAAGAAGGTCGCTTCAGGCGCGGCAACAACCTTGAAATTACTCTCATGGGTTTACGAGTTTTGTGGGATGCTCTCAATTCTGAATGAAAATTGGTCTAAGAATACCTTGATCACATTAAAACTTCAAAGCCATCGTTGAGCAGCAGCAATCTAACTCAATCGAAGTTGTGAATTATCAGCGAATATTTTGTGAGGAATAATCAAATGTCAAATACGTAGCCAAGACATATGCACCCAAAAATTAAGATAGTAAGAGACGCATATAATCATAGGATGGTATACTAAATGTAAAACCTTTTTTTAAATATGCTTAATCCATACGAACACAAATTTGGTTACATTTAATATGCCAAAAATTAAAAAACAACATATCAAATTTAGTTTAGTATAAATATAAAAACTTAAATGAGCCACATTAGTCATAAATTTGTAAATTATACCGCTGATTTATTAGACTACATGCAACGCAATGAATCCAAATTTTCTTATTAAGAACATGTTAATGGAATTTTAATAAGAATATGAACAGAATTTTAATAAGAATATCACATACATTGGAAATGAGATCAATCTAAATCGTACGAGGGCTAATTCTTGGCCATTGAACAACAGTAATTGCTTTACAATTTACAATAATCAGGGTAAAAAAGAGAAAAACAAAAGAATTTTATTTCATCCTTGGAATACAAAAGAATATTTTCTTAAAAAGAAGAAATGTATTTAAAAAAAAATAGATACAATTTTTCATTTTCTTAAAATAAAATTGCGCTAGTGAATTTAACATGTGTTGCTATAAATTTCTTTCTTTCCCCATTTTACTCCATGCCCATCAAACGAGAGACTAGCCGTGTCCTTTATCTTTAGGCCAACCCTCAATTCCTCTAATAAATATATCATACTTTTTGGGACAAACTTGGTTCATTGTCCACGGTTTTGGGAAGAATTCACTCAACATGTAGAATAAAATAATAATTTTACGAACCAAAGAGGCAAATATAGCTTTATTCCCTTAATTTAGGAATATAAAAAATATTGTTAAATAATCACTACAGAAACATAATAATTAAATGTCTTTACTACCGCCAAAAATTAAATTACCCTCTAAACCTCACTTAAAAACTTGCACCAAGCAGGTTTCCCAAACAAGACTTTTAGGGAAACCACAAGGGGAGGTATTGCCAATGTGTATCATTAGACCAGAGTTCTCCGCAGAGGCATCTTGTATACAATAAATGATAAGGGTGTTAAAAAAAAAAAAAAAAGATCCTAAAATTTGTGTGCTCCCTAACATATCCCTTCAATCCTTCATTGACCAGCAAAAGATCCTCACCAAGAATTCAATCTATTCAACCTCGATGAAAAATCAAACGAACTTGGCTGAAATCAATTTACTTAATCATGGCCCTCTAGAAACTTCTCTATCAAAACTGAGAATGCTGCAAAGCCAGCACAACCAGCGCATGCTGCTTTTGGACCACCTAGAACAACACAACACAAGAATGGTAACTAATAAGATTGAGAAAAAGCCAGAACAGAAATACAGAATTATATTATATAATTAGTAAAAATATAGACTTCACCTTCTGGTTTGTTAAATAAGTTGCACCTTTTATCTATTTCCTTTTGCTTCATTCATTCATTCATTTTTGTTGATTTTCCCCTTTACAACTTCTAATACACCATTCCTCAAGCGACGACCACAATTATACTTAGATAAACAACACATAGAGAACGAAAATGCTAAACTTTCTGAAATAAAAGCAAAGGATTCACTGCGGCACCAGCTCATTCTAGAGTTAACTCTTAATCTCTTACACTCTTTACAAGCTCAAAGTTCATGTTGACTCGTATGCAAACTTGGACCCCTCCAAACTTGGTGATCAAACTCTAAATTCTTTAATTTCGCATGTAGCTTTCATGTTTGTGCAAGTTTAGCAAGTTTTTCTGTCCCCATTCATTTGGGTCATTTAAACGCTTACTGCAGCCTAGATTCCAAAACACGTGCTAAATGGTGAAGCAGAGTTAAATTGGAGAAAATAGTCCAAACTTGCATAAATCCTTTCCCTATAATGTAAAGCTACAATTTAGAGGTACAGAATAGTTGCAAACTAGTGATAAAAGACAAGTTCAAGTAACAGCTACTTTTACAATTCAGTTTCTGTTTATTAATAAACTTCATGCTGTTGAGGTTTTTCTTTTTATTTTGGTAAGATGTTAAAATATTAAGCATTGACTATCAACTGTGAAGGGTTTGACATCCTTGGTTCTGAACAACAAATTTTCACTGATGATATTTGTTACAGTCATACTATGGTTTTCCATTTTAAGATGAGTTTGCACCTGTATGGCCGTATGAGTTGACTTCGTGAATTTATGTAATAAATAAAATTGTTTCAATGTTTCAGTTTTCACATCCATTACAAGGTAACAATATGTACGGTGGACTACTACAACAGACATCACTGAAACTGCTTTCAACTCAATCAGTTCTTATGATGCGCCTGATCAGGAGTAACTGATGAAGCCTAATGACTTCAAGGTGCATGCTAAAGGAATGAGCTGGAAATGTGGTTCTAGGTAAACATGGCAAATGACCAGGGAAACTAACTCCGGCAATAACAAGTATACTAAGTACTAACTGAAGTAAGTAAGAGAGAAGGCAGTCTCTCAGAGATGGTTCAAGAGGGAATAGCTTTGTTCCATCATATAAATGCCAATACAGGAAAGTCTTTGTTAGTCATGAGCATTGAAGAATTCTCCAATTATTGTGCTCCCTATTTCTTTTTCTATATAATTTTAGATCCTTTGCCTTATCTTGTTTTATACTTACATCTCTATCCAATTGTTGAAGCCATTCTGAATTCCTTCATCAGTTTTGGAAGTTAAACTTGCTTAGAACTACAAGACCTGAAAATATGTACTACAGACTATTTCACCGCTTAGAATACAGCTAATTTTGTTTTATTTTTCCTTAAACCAATTTTCAATTTTCCAAACTGTCAAGTCACCTACTCATCTTTTAAATCACTTTACTCCTCTTTATGAAAATGAACCTTAAGAATCTATCTCCCTAATCCCTAAGCCCCTATTGCTCAAGAATGTAAAGTGGTTTAGAAAGCACCACACATAGAAAATGTAAACAGGAAATTTGAAAATTATAAAAGCACGTATAGTTATAATTTGGAAGGTGTTACCTTTTGCTGATATCGCACCTCCAGTTACACATCCAGCAACAACTGTATTTGTTGTGTCATGTTTAGCTCGTGCCTGAAAAAGATATTATTAAAAAAAAACCAAAGAAAGAAAGAAAGAAAATAACCTGAGAAGTTTAATCTAATAAAAATCTTCACTCCTAAACTTCATTAGAGTCACACCTTCTCAACAACACATTCGGCAGCTGAGAATATCAAACCCATGACAGCAAATGCTTTGGCTGAACTCCAACTCCTTCGCCCCATCTGCTTTGCTTGATATATTAGCTGTTGCCTCCCACTCATTTCCTCTTGCATCACATGGGTGTCCAGGGATCCAATAAACAAACCCATGAGCAAGCCAAGCCCGCCTCCTAAAAACATCACATAAATCATAAAATAAATATTTGACCATAGATATTACAACAGCTTGATATGTCTAGGGTGAAGATGAATGTTTATTAAATCACATCTGGAGCAGAGCAATTCAGTTTATTTAGAGGTAGAGATAAAAATATGCTTTGAAATCGAAAAATTGAAGAGTGAGCCTGCTACTGTCATACCCATGACTCCACTTACGACACTACGCATTGCACAATTGTTCCAAATGTCTTGACCACGAATTTCCTCAACGGTGGGCAATCTTATGGGTTCAATCTGAGGTTTCTCAGCTTCTTTCATGTTCGAAGAGCCTCCAGATTCATTTCCCGAATTATCAGCCATTAATATGGCTCAGATCCAAAATATACAAGAGTTAACTGAAATCCCCTGTAAAACAGAGCAGTTGGAAAAATGAGAATTCATAAAAGGAGGTGGAGCTTGAAGAATCCATTTCACGAGGGTACGCCTCTTCATTTTCCACTACCAAAACAGTACTCAAGCACAATGAAGGATAAAAATGCCAAATAAACAGGTTAATCTTAAAGTCCATCATTTACCCATCACTTATGAAAAAGTTTTCGCAATTAAAAACTTGATTCCAATGAAAGTATCACAAAAAAACGAACAGGTGTTTCTACAGCTGCAGAAATATGTTAAAATCAACTTTCCTTTTCGCTTGATCCTTTCTTTAACTCTCTTTCCCTCCTATCAAACAAAGCCTCTTAAGTTCTTAAAAATGTCCTCACAAAACAAAAGCATAGAAACTTAATATTCGGGCACTCGCTCCAATAAAATTATAAGACTTTTTGCGAAAGCCAATCGAAAAAATTCAGACCACCAATATCATTGAGTTCAATATATTGCGCAGGAACAAGCAAACAAAACCAAATTCATAAACACAAAAGCTTCCTTCACATTGTTCTTGCTCGTTACCGTTGATCTGGAACCAAGACTTCAGGTTGACGACGACGCACTGCAGGGGCTCGGCAAACGGTGGCCGGCTAGGGTTAACAGGGATTTTGGGGGAAGGAGAGAGCATCGAGCGGTCTAAACCACGGAGGAAGATTATTAGAATTCAGAGAGTAAATTTTTTTTTTCGTGAAATGACAAATAAGGACCACATAATGATGAAATTTTCATGTAGGACCTTGCATTATAGAAATGGGAAAACTGAATGAAATTTACATTGTACCAAAGAATTCGCAGAGTAAATTGTAAATTATTTAATCCTTATGTGACATAAATTTTATATAATGGTTTTTGAATGCTATTTTTTTCTTATAAAAATTTCGATAAAAAAAACCATGGCCATTAATTCTAATTGAGAAAGTTTCCTTTTACCAAAATGTCTTCACTAAAGACTCGCTGTTGGTGGCTAGCCAATCACCGAAGACCTACTAGTGAATGAATTCCGATAGCCATCAAGTAGCATGAGTTTACCAACGACACATTTTTTGTATAAAGCACCTAATATCATGAATTTATCTCACGTTGAATTGAGAGGATTTTAATAAGAACATAAATTAATCCAGATTGAGATTATGATAGGAACATTTGAAGCAATGTGTCATGGGCTGAGAGTCTGGTGCAGTATACGGCGCCCGTGCGACGTCCTGGAGGATCCCATAATCCTCATGACAAGCCTTACCACATACGGATCACACTGGTTTCGCCTTGCCATGGGCTCATTAGGGAGGCGGCACTAGCCCCCGACCAGTTGTGCACTCAGCCCAAAAATTGAGGCAGAACACCCCCAAATGCTAATGTCGCCCCCTTTACCCATATTGTGCGAGACTAACCAGCGGATCGTTCATTATCTTAGTCTTTACACAGTCACGGAGATATCATCCGTGACAAATGGCTCTATTACCAAAGATGTTGTATTTCTAAGTTTAAATTCAAAACTTCTCATTAATTTACCACAACTTCTTTATCACTTAAACAAGTGTTTAGTAGTGCAAGCCACTTTTTTCACACGATTTTTTTTTCTTAAAAATTGTTCTTTTAAGAAAATTAGTCATAACTCCTTAAAAGTCTTAAATGTGTATGATATTCCTCAACTTAACTGCTAAAAAGTTTACAATGAGTATGAAACTTCTTTAACTTCACTACCGAAAAAAATATAATTTCATTTGGAAATTGACTTGGTTAAAAAAATGAATTAATTTGTTCGTAACTAGAAATAAAAATATTGACCTATTTTCAAACGAGGTTAGAACTTTTCAACAATGGAATTAAAGAAATTTCAAACGAGGTTAGAAATTTCTTATACATTTTGATTTACCAAAAATTTAATCCAAATCTAAAATAGGTCAATTTTGAAGTAAGGTTAAGGCTTTTTCAATAGTGAAATTAAGAAGTTCCACACCCTTCTTAAGTATTTTTGAGCAACTATGATCAAATTATTTAATAAACCAAAGGAATTTTTTTTTTTAGAAACAAAGTTTCAGATGGATATGAAGTTTCTTTAACTTTACTACTGAAAACTGAAAAGCTTTAACATCACTTAAATAGGATAGTAGCCTTATTTTCAGTTGCCAAAAATTTAATCAATATTTGAAATAATTCAATTTTCAAGTGAGATTAAAGCTTTTCAGTAGTACAATTTAAAAAAAATTCATACTTATCTTAAGCATTTTTTGTAGTCATATTTTCAGTTACCAACAATTTAGACCATGTATGAAATATGTCAATTTGCAAGTGACGTTAAGACTTTTCAATAGCGAAGCTAAGGAATTTTACATCTAGGATATTTTCAACAGTCATGACCAAATTATTAAAAAAAATTTCTTAGGAAAAAATTTATCCAAAAATAAGAATGCCCTGGTGCCAGCAAGTTAAGACTTTATAGAGGCAATTCTTAACTTGCTTTCTGTTTTCTTTTTCCCTTTGTAAAAAAAAAAAAGAATCATGTTTTTTTTTATTGAAATTTCTATAATTAAAGGTTCTAGATTGTAATTCCCATCCTCATTTGGTCCATTTTCGTCATTTCCCCAATTTTTTAAAGAAATAAAATATTATTTTTTTTGTTTTATGATTCACTACTGAAAAAGAGCTTTGTATAACCGTTTTTAACCGTTATATAGTTAAGTGCTACGCAGTGCAAGCTCAATTATACGGCATATAAAATGGTTATTTAACCTGCGGCCACGCATAAATCAACAAAAGCGAAACAGACAATGGAAGAAGTGACCAACTGACCATTTTGTTCAGGAGGAGAGCACAAATCGAACCCACATCAGAAAACAAGAATTGAAGGAGGGTACCAAACCAAAACACAAATCACACTATTACAAAAATAAAATTTAATAACATGTATTTTATAATAATTAAAAATAAAACACTATTAAAATAAAAGCTTAAGTATATTAGGTGATGTTTTTTTAATGAAACGTCACCACTTATCAATTATTTTTTATTTATAATTTTTTTAAAATAACAAGAGGTGGCGTTTCCTTTATGAAACGTCACAACTTGTTACCAATAAATAATTTCATGGCATTTCAAAATGAAACGCCACCTAATAGTTATGATAATTATAAAAAATAATTTTATTTATTATCATAATTAAAATTATTGTTACTATACTTATTAATATAATTATTATAATAATTCTTAAAATATTATTATTAATTTTAGAACATATTATAATATAAATTAAGTAGTTAATTAATAATCATTATTAATATATCACAACAATTTAAAACTAAAAATATAAAATTACAAATATGTTTTTTCAACATTTATTTCATAATAAATATAATATTTAAAGAAAATTTATTTAATTAATCTTAGGCAGTGATTTCTTCTTAAGAAAATGCCACCTAATAAATGAGAGTGGTGGCATTTTTGAGTAATAGAAACATCACCTCTCTCACATATATTAAATTTTTTATTAATTAACATTATTTTTAAAATATAATATATAGTTATTAAATTTTATTTATTGATTGTAAAATAATAAAAAAATATTTAAATAAGAGATGTGAGGTTTTTAAGTGATAGAAACACCACCTCTCTCTTATATATTAAACTCTTTTTAAATTAATGTTATTTTTAAAATATATATCTATATATATAATAAGGTTTACAAAATATTAAATATTAAATAAATTATTTAAATGAGACAAGTGGCGTTTTCCAATAATAGAAATGTCACCTCTCTCATATATATTAAATTTTTTTATTAATTAATATTATTTTTAAAATATATAGTTATTAAATTTTATTTATTGAATGTAAAAAAATAAAAAAAAATTAAATGAGAGAGGTGAGGTTTTTAGGTATGAAAACACCACCTCTCTCTTATAGATTAAACTCTTTTTAAATTATTATTATTTTTAAAACATATATAACATAATGTTTACAAATATTAAATATTAAATAAATTATTTAAATGAGAGAGGTGGCGTTTTTGAGTAATAGAAACGCCACCTTTCTCACATATATTAAATTTTTTATTAATTAACATTATTTTTAAAATATATAGTTATTAAATTTTATTTATTGATTGTAAAATAATAAAAAATATTTAAATGAAAGATATGATATTTTTAGGTGATGGAAACACCACCTCTCTCTTATAGATTAACTCTTTTTAAATTAGTATTATTTTTAATATATATATATATATATAAAATAATATTTACAAATATTAAATATTAAATAAATTATTTAAATGAGATAGGTGGCATTTCCAAATAATAGAAATGCCACCTCTCTCATATATATTAATTTTTTAATTAACTAATATTATTTTTAAAATATATAGTTATTAAATTTTATTTATTAAATATAAAATAATAAAAAATTATTTAAATGAAAGAAGTAATATTTTCAGGTGATGAAAATGATACCTGTTTCTTATTGATTAAACTTGTTTTAAATTAATATAATTTTAAATACATATATATATAATAATTTTTTCAATTATTAAACATTAAAAAAATTATGTAATTGAGAGAGGTGACGTTTCTAAGTGATGGAAACATCACCTCTCTCTTCAAAATTATTTTTTTATTAGTTAGTTTAATTTTTTAAAAAAATTGTATAGAGATGGCATTTCTTTTATGAAGAAACGTCACTATTGTGGTTTTTAATTATTTTTAAAAATTAAAGATAGTTTTTAACTTTTGTTCAAATTTTTAAATCTTAATTTTTTTCATCTTAATCATTCTCTCCATTCAATCATTTGGTCTTCTCTCTTATAATCCACAAGTTATCTATTTTCTAATAATTGAAAGTGCTTTCATCATCTTCTCTTGCTAAGGTCGCTTGTACATTTATATTAATAATAGGTTTCTTTTTTTCATTTTTATTACCTCCTATTTACCTATCCACATACGCATATATGGGTCTTTACGATTTGCTGTTGTTTATTTTTAGTTAACAATTTTTTTTTCACTATTGAAGGGTTTGTTCTTGTAATTTGCTAATAGACATATCTATTGGTGAAATAATTCTCTGAGTATAAAGCTTTATTTAGATCTGAAAAACAGATAGTAAGATCTTCAATTTTTTTGCTTTCAATAATAAATGATTTCATTTTGTCTAGTTTTAAACTTTTAAGAAGGTAATGATGATAATCTTTGTTAATCATTGAGAAAGAAACTTGTTAAATATTAGTCATAATTTTTTTTAATTTTATTGTTTATTTATTTTTGTTGTAAGTATTGTTTTTGAAAACTATATTACAAAAATTGTTGATAAACCTTATTATATCTCTTAACTAATATTTAATTTATTTATTTTTCTTCATCTTTGATTTTTTTATGACATTGCTAAATTTATCATAGTTTTGTATAGTTTGAAATTAATTAATTATTTTTGTTAATTATATGAATAAAATTTATTATATAAATTTATTGTGTATTTACTAAGAAAATTATGTATATGAGTTGATAGATATATAAAAAATTATATATATATATATATATATTAAAAAGTGATAATTTTTTAAATTTTTTTAAAATACAAGGAGATAGTACGCCACCTATCTCTTTTTATTTTTTAAAAATTAAGTAGAGAGGTGGCATTTTATTGAGAAAATGCCACCGTTGTTGCTAGCTTTTTGTGGTTTTTTA